CCCCAAAAGTTGGACCACCCCCCCCCCCCCCCCGGGCCACCTCTAGACCACCAAAATCGCCAATATTCAGAAGTTATTATCTAATTATAGAAAAATACTAATAACTTAAAAAAATAGTATCATCAAATAGCTTATTCTTTATATTTTATTAGAAAAATAATAAAAGAAATTTAATTATTATATAGAGGCTAAAATCCTAAAAGTAAAAGCTATTTTTAATCTTAACAGTTTTACTAAGAAATTATATATAAAAGTGTTAAGAACTTATCTTTATAATATTATATTAAGAAAAAATAATATAAATCTTTTTAAAAATCTTTTTATCTAATTATATAAGTAATTTATAATATTAACTATTAAATTATTTCTATCTAATTTATATTAATAAGATCTTTAAAAAGTTATAATTTAATAATAAAGATAAAAGAAAAACTAAATATAAAACTTTAATTAATTAATTATATATAATTTAAAACTTTTATTTTAATATAATTATTATAAAAAGATAGAAACTTTTTTAAAAATATTTTTATTAATTTTTCTTAATAAGATTATTTAAAAATAGATCCTTAACTAATTTATATATAATCTCTTAGTAAAACTGTTAAGGACTTTTTCTTTAACTATACTAGATTTCTATTAATAGATATATTTTATTCTATATTTTTATTTTAAAGCCTTATAAAAGAGCTATCTAAAAATACTTTATTTTTATTTATAGTATTTTTCTATATTTAGATAGTATCACTGAAAAATTGCTGATTTTGGTGGGAAAAGGTGGCCCGGGGGGGGGTGGTCCAACTTGTGGGGCTCTGTCTTATGTATACGCGCCTCGGACATAGGAGATCACAATTCAGCTAGGCCCATAGCTAGTATATCAGCAGCATGGCGGCTACGGAGCCATCGATTCCTTTCTCGGAGAATTGCTGCAGATATTAGGCATGGAAGATTGAGCGTCACTCTGACGTGCCCTGTCAGCCAATTGCGGTGGGGATGTTTGTGTCAAATCTGCACCTTTGGAGAACCCTTGTCCTTGTCGCAGGTTCCGATCGGCCGGTTAGCTACCTAGGTAGCAGGCACGGTCAGCTGCGGGGAGAGGGAAGAGAGAGAGAAGAGAGAGAGAAGAGAGAGAGAGGAGAGAGTGTGTGAAAGTGCATTGCGCGGATTCTACAAGTACCAGCATTGCCACCGCGCGTCTCGCAGCAATCGACTCCCTCCACCGGCAGGCGCCGAGACATGCATCACTAGTTAGAGCGAGCACGATCGAAAAAGAGGGAAAGGGGAGAAAACCGAATGGAGCCGGCGAGCGTGGGAGGACCGGGCCGGGGATGCTGGCGAGTTCAATTGCGACTAAACCGCCTGGGGGAGAGGCTGCATTTTGCAGCATCTTGGCGTCTCGCATGGAGGTCTTAAATAAGGGTCAAGAGGTAGGTGTGAATGAACCCCGCTCCTTGCCAGTCGTGCCAGTCGTGCCAGCTTGTGCCAAATCCCTGCCGAATCCCTGCCAACCCTCCCCCCCCCCCTTCTTTCGCATTCGGGCGCCGCAATTGGGCCATGATTGGATTTTTCTTTTCATTGTCTCCTCCTCTCGCTCTCGCGCAGCAATCACCTCATTCCCTCCTTTTCTTCCTGTCCTCTCTCTGCTTCCTCAACCGCACCCCGCTCCGCCCGGCCCCGTCTTGAACTCACAATCCATCTATCCATCTACACTGTCTGACCTCAAGCTCACTCGCGCGATTGAGCCGCCGCCGTGCCCGATCATGTCTGGAGCTCAGCCGACCAGCGATCCCAGTGTGGAGCAGCCAGAAGCCGCCAAGTCGGCCGATCAGCCGACGGCGTCGACCTCCAACCCCGCCACCACCTCCGGAGCACCCGACCTCCCGGCCGCCACTCCTTCTGCCGCCGGCGCCGCTGCTGCTGAGGCCGAGGCGGCTGCTGCTGCCACTACTGCCGCACACGCTGCTGGCGACGTTCCCGCTGCCCCCGTCCCCGCCCTTCTTCCGGCCTCGCACTGGGCCGATCTCCCGCAGGTGCGTCCGCATGAGCCCTCCTGCTCCCGGTGCCACAGACGGAAGTAGCTGACGCACAGATCGTGCAACCCGGGTAGGCACCCCGTGACGATGACACAGACTCGGCCCAAGGCGATAACGCCAGCAGCACGGCGTCCATGTCATCCTCTATCCTGCAGTACAGGACTATCCACGGCAGGACGTACCACAGCGAGCGAGGCAACGCCAGCTACTGGTAAGGCTCCTGCTGCTTGCCGGCGGCGTCATCCTGACTTCTGTGGCGCTCACTAATCGTGGCCGGTCGTGTGTAGGAGTCCCAATGATGAAGCACAGAACGAGGCCCTAGATATCATGTGAGTTGCCCCCGGGCTGGTCAGCCAGACACTTTCAGGAGGTGATCGCGGACGATTGCGCTAATCCATATCTCAAGTCACCATGTCCTTACCTTGTCGTTGGACAACAAACTTCACATCGCACCACTCGGTGACAACATCCAGGTGAGATGCATCAACAGTAATTTGATAAAAGCAATCTTGTGGCTGACATCCGTCACAGAAAGTCCTTGACATTGGCACGGGAACTGGCATCTGGGCCATGTAAGTATAACCATCATCGTAGCATCTCCAGCCGCCCAGATCTCATCATAGATAGTGACTTTGCCGACGAGCACCCCAACTGCGAGGTCATTGGCACAGACCTATCGCCAACACAGCCGACGTGGATCCCGCCCAATCTGAAGTTGTAAGTATCTAACGGCCCCGAGGGCTCTGTTGTTGTGTCTTGCGAGGAGACGTTCGGCTCCTGACTGTTCACATAGCGAGATCGACGACTGCACGCAAGAGTGGACTTTTGCCGAGAACTCGTTCGACTACATCCACATCCGCTGGCTGTTTGGCAGCATCGCCGACTGGACGCACCTCTTCCAGCAGGCCTACAGGTCCCTCAAGCCCGGCGGCTACCTCGAGAGCCAGGAGGCATCCATCATGTTCCACAGCGACGACGGCTCCGTGCACGAGAAGACGGCCATGGCCCAGTTCGGCAAGTTCTTCCTCGAGGCCGCCAAGGTCATCGGCCGCTCCTTCACCGTCGTCGAGGACGGCACCCAGCGCAAGGCAATGGAGGAGGCTGGCTTCGTCGATATCCAGGAGAAGGACCTCAAGGTGAGCACTTGAATCCGTGACGTAGCAGCCAGGAGCTTGTGAGATGAGAATCGCATGGCTCACACAACTCATATATCATAGACGCCCATCGGCCCCTGGCCCACCGATCCCAAGCAGCTCGAGATTGCCAGGTTCCAGCAGATGGCCGTCGAGCAAGACACCGAGGGCACCCTGAACATGGTCGCCTCGCTGCAGGGATGGACCCCGACCGAGGTTGCCGTCTACGTTGCTCACCTCAGGCGGGAGCTCCGCTCCAAGAGCATCCACGGCTACTACCCTCAGAAGATCGTCTGGGCTCGCAAGCCCTAACACAAAGGACCCCAATCTGATGGGAGCCTATTTCATCTTCTCCTCTTATTCTTCTCGACAAAACCCATTGTGAGCTTTGCATATATGTTTCGACATAGACACGACCATGTCTCCCAGATGGGAAACGACTTTATGAATATATCTTGAAGATTGAAGGAATGCTACCTGTGACCCTTTGCAATGCCCGCTTGTGTGACGCTCTAATCATGGCCAGTTGCAAAGGCCACACCATCATTGACAAGAAACCTTTGCGTCTGGCATCTTTATGAACGAAAACGCAATACGCCAGATCCTGATGGGTCTACGATGTGGTCAAATATTCAGGACTCGCTCTCGTCCGTCGTAACCCTCTCAAGTCAGGCACAGGAGAAAGAAGGCGGCTGATATCTGACGGAGACCTCCGAGGAGTCAGAAAGCTTGGTTACACCCTCCACGGAGCTGCTCTCAAAGGTCTGGAAACCCAAACAGATAGTCATTCTATGAGCTTGTCTAAATGATACTCAACTCCTGCATCTCCAGCTTTCCCTCACCGACTAGCCTCTCGGCCTCTCCGTCCATGAACCCGTGCACATACACCGCATCCAAATACTCGTACTCTACCACCCCGTCGCCCCCCATCGACGGCCTCAGCAAGAATGGTACCTTGCCGCCCTCCACTATAGCGAGCACGTCCCCGTCCTTGGCACCCCGCGGCAACATGATCATGAGGCCCGTCTTGGACAGGCTGAAGCAAAAGTGCCTCCACGCTCGGCTCGCCATGGACCAGCACTGCAACCCGAAGCATCCCTCGAGGTCCTCCGAGATCCATTCCCGGCCGCCCCCCGTGCGCTTGACCAAGTTCTGCCCGGCCATGGACTTGCGCACGATCCCCGCGAACGTCTCAGCGTCGGCCTGCACGTCTTCGGCCGAGAGTCGCACAATCGGATACGCCTTGCAGTCGAGGGACAGACTGCGGCAGTAGGCTTGGAAGAGCGGCTCGCCGGTCGGCGCGTATACCTGCGACCGATCATCTAGGGGGGTTGTGCCGTAGTAGAGCTTCATCCATCGCTCGGGGCGCTTGCTGACGTGGTGGGCCTCGGGGTCGGCGGACTCCTCCTTCTCCTTGTCCTCGGGCAGCATGTGATATGTCTTCTGCAGCACGGGCCCGACCTCGTCGAGGATGATCCCCCTTACCAACAGGCGCTTGCCGTCGCGGACGCGGCACGGCACTTGGCAGGGCTTGGTGCTGGCAGCGAAGATGCCCCGCTGCGCAAAGAGGATGTTCTCCAGCCTTTCTGGGCCTTCCTGGTATTCGTACAGAGTGAGAGTGCAGGAAAAGTCAGGGACCCACGTAGGCAGACCGGGCATCTTTGGCTGGCGGTATTCGTAGTGGCCCTGCCATGGGTTTTGGCAAATGATGTCTAGATTGCCCGCCGAGTCGATGATGGACTTGGTGACGTCCACGTATACCTCGTGGGCCGTCTTGGCGTAGCTGACAGTGACGCCGTGTTCTTCCGTGACAAGGCCCAGCAGACCGTAGACCTTGTCCCGCGGATCGGAGGACCGGGCGTGCCTGAAGCGGGCCAGCACGTCGATGAGCTTGGACACACTGCCCTTGGTGGCGGTATCGCGCATGATGGACCGCTGGTGCTGGATGTGCTCGGCGTGGCGGAATATCTGCCGCGAGGCCATGCGGTTCACAGGCCCGTGGCCGCCGACGACGTGAAAGGCGTCGGCGTAGGGGGTGTCGCCGAGGAAGTCAAACAGCACGCTCCAGTCCAGCGTCCTGTCGCCGGCGACGAGGACGACGTGCGGGGCACAGGAGAGCTCCTGCGTGACCCAGATGCGCTGCCAGAGGGGCGTGAGCCGGAAGAGGGTGACGAGCGCTTGCTCTTGCTCGTAGTCGAGCATCCAGCCGCCGTCAGGGCGCCCCTGGCGCTCCATGTTCTCCTTCATGCCGGCAAGGGTATTGATGTCCCTGTCCTTGATCTTGACCATCAGGTCCATCCCCGCGTGGAGGTCCTTGAGCCTCGTCTCCAGCTGGGCGCGTTGATAGTCGTCGTGCTCGGCCTCCATCATCTCGGACGGATTGGGCCCCAGCCAGGCCAGGTCGGCGAGGCAGTGGCTGTAGATGGCCTTCATCAGGGTCACCTGGTGGCTCCTCTCGGCCGTGTCGTCCTGGTTGATGCAGATGGCATCTACCCAGAGACGCCTCTTGTCAGAGGGCTTGCGCAAGTGTCGAAGGGCAGACTCTAGATTCACTGTGATGTTGAAGGGTTGGGAGTCCAGCTCAATGGGTTGGGTGATCAGTGGCTGCCCCCAGGTATACGAGAGGGCTTCGTAAGGAGGGGCATCTTGCAGCGTTGTCAAGTCCAACTCGCAGCGAAGAGGCTCGTTGAAGTCTTTGGCTGGGAGCAGATGCAGCAGGCGGATCTCATGTCTCGCAGTGTTCAGAGGGCGGTATGTGAAAGCCATTTGTTCATGTGTTGTCTTGGGCAGATAGGTGGTGCTGCCATGAGTTTGACGGAATCGTCATGAGTTACCCTGTTCGAGGTCTTGGGAAAAGTTAAGAACCGCAGTTATAACATCGCTGATAGACCAGCATCTCTCGCGATGTGGACCAGGGTCTGCATTGCTCCCGCTGCGGCTCGGAGTTGCTCAGCCTCTGAAGGATTCATGGACTGGTGCAGGGGGTGTGCAGCTGCCCACTCAATCAATGAGCATTGAGCAACCAGAATGTCAGCGGTATCAACAGCCGCATTCATAGCCTTCGGACTCCTGGAATCCCCCAATTGCGAGTGCATGAGGATAGAAGTGATTTCTAAGGACCTGTCTATGTCTGGGGTCAAATTGGACCAACAAATTGAGACTCGAGAATGCCAGAGCAGCAACTCTCTTCTCGAATCTTATTTAACTTGGGAATAAAACTGCGGGATTGATCTTACGATTCTTTCTACGTACTGTATTTTGCATTTGTTTCTTTATACTCCGTACTGTTCACACCTGCCATTCAATACAAGAGTCACCAGGTAGCTACCTTGGTAGTTGTAGGTACAAACCTTGCGGCTAGATGTACGTGCTGTTTTGGGTTGAAGGAAGGGACAAATGATGAAACTCAAGTCGCAGTCTGCTCTGTTTATTTGTCGACCTCTTTGATGGGCGATTATACAACTCTAAAATGTGTAGGATGTCTTAGAGTCGCAATTGCAGCCTTTTCAACTATAGCGAAGTGATGAATGTTCTTAAGCTCAACCCACCAAGCACGCCAACTAAGGTAGGTACTCTTGTACTCTTGTTGCGGGGTCTCTCTTTACTAAGTACATGTAGGCACCGTACGATAAGCCCGTTCACTGATAACGATAAGAAAAAAAAAGTCATCCCAGTCTCCCACCATGGATGCATTCCCGCGACACCGCCTGCCCTGATCGATCGATTGATTGATTGATTGATTGCTTGCGAGATCAAACATCCCACACCAATCACCACAACCGCCATGGCGACGGTCCTCCCGCCGCCCTCCAAGCGGCAAAGAAGAGAGCAAGCCGAGCGCACGGCCACGCAGCAGGATGTCACTGCCCTCCTGCCCGGGCCGGACGCCGGATCCTTCAAGGCGCGCTTCATCGACGGCGACGGCCAGCAAATGGCCGACGTGATCGAGGTACCCCTCGCCGACGCCTCCGAGAAGAACGTCTCCCTCATCCTCAACACCCTTCTCGGCCGCGAGAGGGACGACTTCCTGCCTTACCGCTTCCGTATCCACATCCCCGGCTCCGACCCGCCCCTCATCATCGACCAATACCCGACAGACCTGCTCGCGCTGCTGCGGCAGCACGGCATCGAGAATGCCTTCGAGACGACCATCACGCTGGCTGCCGAGCCGCAGAGCGTGTTCAAGGTGCAGTCCGTCACACGCGCAGCGCACAGGATACCGGGCCACGGGCAGCCGATCCTGTGCGCGCAGTTCAGCCCCGCCTCGAGCAGCCGACTGGCAACGGGCAGCGGAGACAACACGGCCAGGATCTGGGATACGGAGTCGGGCACGCCCAAGTACACATTGAAAGGCCACACGGGGTGGGTGCTAGGGGTGTCGTGGTCGCCCGACGGCGCGCGGATAGCAACGAGCAGCATGGACAGCACGGTCAAGATCTGGGACCCCCAGACTGGCAAAATGCTCTCAGACTTCAAGGGCCACAAGAAGTGGGTGCTAGGGCTGGCATGGGAGCCGTACCACCTCTGGCGCGACGGCACGCCCAGGTTGGCCTCGGCGAGCAAGGATGCCACCGTCCGCATCTGGGTCGTCAACACTGGCCGCACCGAGCACGTCCTGAGCGGGCACAAGGGCTCCGTCAGCTGTGTCAAGTGGGGTGGCACAGGACTGATCTACACGGGTTCGCACGACAAGACGATCCGCGTCTACGACTCGGTCAAGGGCACGCTGGTGCACGAGCTCAAGGCCCATGCGCACTGGGTCAACCACCTCGCGCTGTCGACCGACTTTGTGCTGCGGACCGGCTACCACGACCACACCAAGAAGGTACCCGAGACGGACGAGGAGAAGCGGGCCAAGGCCAAGGAGCGCTTCGAAAAGGCCGCCACCATGGCCGGCAAGATCTCGGAGCGTGTCGTGTCGGCGTCGGACGACTTCACCATCTACCTGTGGGATCCGTCCAACAAGGGCACCAAGCCCGTGGCGCGCCTGCACGGCCACCAGAAGCAGGTCAACCACGTCAGCTTCTCGCCCGACGGGACGCTCATTGCCAGCAGCGCGTGGGACAACCACACCAAGCTGTGGAACGCAAGGTATGTTCTATGTCTACACTGCCAACCATGTTTACCAAAGAGCGCGCTGTGTCGGTGTCGCTAACACTTCCTTCCAGGGACGGCAAGTTCATGCACACGCTACGAGGGCACGTCGGCCCCGTCTACCAATGCGCCTTCTCGGCCGACTCGCGCCTGCTGGTGACGGGCTCCAAGGACACGACGCTCAAGGTCTTTGACACGCGGACGGGCAACCTCAAGCACGACCTGCCGGGCCACGAGGACGAGGTCTTCGCCATCGACTGGAGCCCCGACGGAGGCAAGGTTGGCTCAGGCGGCAAGGACAAGGCCGTGCGCATATGGTGTCACTGATCACCTTTTTGGTGTGTGTGCAAGGACAACAACAAGATCTACAAGTAGGGACATGAAAAGGAGGAGCTACGTAGGCATAGAGAAACGGAAGATACCCTGAATGGAAGATACGCATTGCGCATGATCTGACATGATCGTAATCCGTATCACCCAGTGGACCGCTACTAGCGACTTGCCTGATCCGCGGATCGTCTGATCCATTGTCCCGGCCATCCGGGGGATCGACCGGCAAGGACCGGGCGGCAGTTGGCGGCGCACTTCTGCTCCTCGCCAACGAAACGATCTCGAGTCCTTGTACAGACAAGAGAGGCACGGTACCACGCTCTCTTGTGAGTCATGAATGGGATGGACAGCCCTCGGGATGATGGTTCCGTTCTTGCCCAAGATCCAAGACACGAAACATGAGTAACCTACCTCGACGGATGGCCAGAGATGCCGATGCAATTTACATGTGATTCGGCTTGCTCGCTTGCAAGACCTACCTCCTATTGCTATTGATACGGTCTCGCATACGATACCAGAGTGGTATCTCGGGCTTTATCTTTGATCTTGATTGTCTGATCGAATTGGAGAACTGAGATCGGCCCTGCATGGGCAACGGACGGCTCAGAACGTTGCAGGATGGTGTTTGGCAGACAGCGAGGCCGCATCTGGTTTCCGAAATGCATCCCGCCGCTGTCGAAAGGGGGCAGTTTGAGGCGTCGGATTCCCTTTCAGTATCCTTGCCCTGCGCGCGCGCTGTGCGCGGTTAAGATGTGGATGCAGAATCCCTTCACCACAGACAGGTCCTTGCCACCGGGCGCCGCCAACATCCCAGCCATCGACGAGGTACCCACTGCAGCTCTGAGCAATCTGGTCAAGATTGTCAGGCACGCAAGACCCGAGAGTAACGGCGGGATGCAATGCGGCTGCAAGAAAGGTCCCTTGACAAATGACGAGTCGCACCAAGAAGCAAGATAAGAAAAAGCACAGCACGGACGGACGGACGAGATGGCTCCCGCCTTGGACGCGGCAAACAAAGACTTGTCTTTGGATGATCTTCGAATGACAGGTTCAGACTGAACGCGCGAACGTCAGTTGGCTCTGCCTGGTAGGACGATGCGGCACTTTCAATTGCTGCATGTGTTGTTCCAGGCTCAGCCAGTGGAGTGGATCCCTGTTGTCCCCGGCCCGTCCCAGCCAGCACTGGGCTTAGTTCAAGTTTGATGCTGTAACTACCTACCTAGCCTCTATAAACTACTTGTATAGGTACCTTGGGTAGAAGGTAGAAGGTAGAAGGTAGATCAATTAATTTAGGTAGTTGGCCGTTGTGCTGCAACTAGGTAAGGTACCCTACCTTGCCTTGCTCTTGGCAGGGATCAATCAGAAAAGTCCATGTGCTTGAAAAGCACAAAAATATCTCAATACAATGCACTCTTCGGCGGAGGAAGATGGGACGAGTTTGCAGGTGTTCTGTGCAGGGGACGGCGGCAATGCCCAATTTCATATCTCGATGATATTCCAACGGGCTTGGTTTTAGGGGGCCATTCCGCCCAATGCGACCCAAAAATGGGAGAGCGAATTAGCCCGCGGCCGTTAAAAAGTCAACTAATGTAGCTACTCCGTAACAGCCAGTCAACCACCACACCGGTTCGGAAAGTTTCGGGAGAGTCTTGGACTTCCAGCCTATGGAGCTCTCTCGCTTCTACGCATTTTTGCCCCTTTGGCGATTGGAGTGAATCCGGGGTTCCTCTGCTCGGCCGTTTCTGATATCTGACAAGCGAATGCATACGGAGTAAGGCTCGCATTGGAAACCGAAGCGTCAAACGCTCTGACCGAGGTTGCGGATCAGAGGACCGCGCGCGCAGATTATCGCGTGCCAGAACAGAACATCACTGGATGTACCTACATGATGAGGATGGCAGAGTACCTAGCTTAAATATTAGGTAGGTAGTCTACTACCAATCTGCCTCTAAACAGAGCGAACCTCTTGCCCACGAGGCCGGGGTGGGCTCAGTAATTGGCTACAGTTCTACTGGGAGCTATATTTATCACTACTGTTCCCTCGCTTCGATCATAGAGCATTTTGTGCGGCTCGATAGTCCCCGGACTGGCCGTGGGAGCAACCGCGGTCTTGCTGAAGATACCATTTCCACCCAGCCGTGGGATTCAGAGAGAGATGGAGATGGGCGTGACGTATCATGTTATCCCCAAGGCAAGAGTTGCCCGAGCAGGCCTCTACCCCGCCAAGTCGCCGTCCCAAACGGATCAGATCGTGTTATTGAGCGAGCCCAAGGCTCGTATGTCAGATCATCCGTTGGAGCTAACACACCTTGGCTGGGGTAGCTTCGTAAGCCCAAACGAAAGCCCCCTCACTCGATGTTGGAGCATCACCTCAACTTGGCAGAATCCTATTCCCCGCGTCTCGTGTCCATGCCACTGCGTACCATTTGTTGTTTCCGGGGAGGAATCTTCTGCAACGACGAGCTCGAGCGGGATCGTCTACTTCGGTCCCGGATCTGGTGCACATCAGACCTCAAACAACACGTCGCAGACAGAGCGCCAGCAGGTCGGATGCGGCAGTGGCGTCGATCGCGGCGCTGTGGAGCGAGCAAGTGGGGTCGCTTCGATGCACATTGCTTCCTGACACGGATGGCGGGTAAACACCCATTCAACTTGACTGGTCCTGGTAAGCCGGTGCGCGAGGGAGAGAGACTGAGCACGCTCTGCAAGTTCACAACGGCACATCACATGTGTCCAAATGACAACCGGGCTGCGGCTGGTCGATCATCAGTCTCCAGACAGACGAGGATGGGCCAAGCCACTTTGTTCATCCCATGCTATGCAGGTCGATCGACAGAAGAGTCCCAAGCTGCTCGAGCGGCGGGAGCCAAACTTGGTGGTGTCTAGATATTTCCAGAGACGCAAAGAGCTCTGTTCTGGACCTCTCGGCAGTGGGCCTATTGGCGCAATGGAGCTGCACAGGTTCTAGATGGAGCCCAAAGCCCAATCCCCATCCTCCCCACTGGGCGGGGGGAACATCCGTCGAAACATCGAGAAAGCCAGTCCCAAGGTATCAACGGCGTCGAGGTATGGCCGAAAGTGGTTATGCGTGTCGATTGCTGAGCGGAATGCTCGATCGGCCCTGTTATGGCGACGGTAGCCGCCAAGGTCGCAGCATGCGCACCACCCACTTCCGGTCCTAGGAAGCTCCAGACTTGGCTCGAGTGACGAGCAAAAGGGACATGGAGGATCGTGTGGTTTGTCAAGATGGGCCTGCCCAACCCTATTGCTCGGCGCCAGGTGGCCCGGCTCGCGGCGGGACGAGGTGCCCATCGGCCGTCTTGTCAGCATCGTGAATGTGGTTGCACAGGCGCCGCATTGGGCGAGGAACAGGGGGGGCGATGTGAGGGAAAGGAAGAGGTAGAGTGCGTGATTTACCAGGGTGAGGGGGCGACTGCAGGTCTCATCAAGGGTGTAAGTGAAGTGTGCACTTTCACGATACTTGATCCGTCGCAGCCTTTTGGCGGAGATGTCATCGCCCTACCAAGTAAAGTACGTACGAGACCACCCTCAAAGGCACATTGTCCGGATAAGATTGCCTTCTAGGACTGACTCCGCGCGTGTGGCCCTTGGGCCCCCTCCTCTCCATAGTCTTTCCCAGCTTCCTAACCGCTACACGTACCTGTCACGATGCTGTCTAAGGAGACGAGATGGTGTCGAGGATCGGTGCTTGGGACGTCGTCGAGGAGCAGTACCAATTGGTAATGCGGCGCATGCAAGGGATGCGAGGATGCCGAGCACCTGGGGTGTCTGGATAGTACAAGTACAAGTACTTACTTGTATGGATGTGCCTGTCTTGTACGTACTCCGTAGTTATCCTTCCATAGGAGAGGACTCGACAAGATGCAACGCGCCAAGTCAAGACCCAGTCCCGGCCCAAGCCCTTTGGCGACGTGACGGCCAGAAGGGCTGTTCAGTTGTTCAGTTTGTCACTCGGCCCACTGTAACCACACAACAATGGCGGGAGAATCCATAATTGTCTTCTTGCATCTTGCAGGGGCGAGGAGGGTTCAGATTTGGTAAGAACATGCAATTTCGCAGCAGGCCATTGGAGCATGCAAGGCTGATCTCGCGAGTGAATATTGCAATATGTACTTTGTAGACGGATGTACAGATGTACCGTGAAGTTGCATGTCTCTCAGTCTGGCCGGGGTTTGGGATCTAGATGTGAAGAGCAGAGCAGTCAGTGTGTGTACCTCAGCGTGCTGAGATGACCAGCTTGGATGGCTGGATGGCTGGATGGATGGACGGATGGAGGATTAAAGAAAAGAGGACATCCCCCGTCCGTCGACAGCATCAAATTCAATGATCTGAGAAACATCAAGAAGATCAAGCTCCCTCATCCCTCCATCCCTCCACTTTTTTCCTGGGTCGTCCCTTCTCCTTCCCAGTCCCAGTCCCTTCCTTTTTCGTCCCAAGGCCGCCATCTCCATATTTTTTTTTCTTCTTGTCCTCCCGACCCCAGTCACTCAGTACCTGCCCGTAGTCACTAGTAACTACACTCTCTACAGTACCTTCCCATAGTACCCGAACCCAGTTTGCCAGGCAGGTTCAATCCAGATCTACCCACATCAACTGATTGCCTCGCCCGGAACAAAACCTCCTCGCCCGATTCCAGAGACCCAGAGAACAACCTGGAAAAACACCATCTCTCGATCTCATCGCGATCCTGATAACGGCATCACATTATCACGTCCGATATCTCTTGTCCAAGTATACTTCGGTGGTACGGCTTCCGCGCGCGAGAAACGGTGACGGCACAGGTTTTTCTTCCTTTCTCGTCCTCTTCGTCCTGCAGGGGTTCATCAGCGCGTCATTGGCTTGTAAGTCGCCGAAAAGAGAAAAAAAAAAAAGGACAAAAAAGAACTCAGCCCCCCGGCTCCAGCTCCATCAGCTCTTCCTGAAGCATTCCACATCCCAGCTGGCACGTTTCAAAAACCTCTTCCACCCCCTGGCTATGTCCTAGTTCCCAGTGCGCGCTTGTTACGTCAGTCGCAACACAAGCATCGTCACCCAAATCATAAAAACCAAGGCACACCAACCAAGGTCCAACACCAACACCGCCAGCCAGCGCTAGCAAGGCATGCTATTGTCAGAAAAGCGTTGCACCGGACCAGAAGGCCATCAGGTCCGCTAGCCACCACCTCTTGGATCACCATTGGCTGGTCCTGAACTCTACCACCAGCTTCGTCCCAACCGCTTACACATATCCAAGCCTTCCAAGCCGGTCCGCGCCACTCTCGCCAACAAAGAAGGCCGGCCGATCCCCAACTCATTTCTCCCCTCGCGGGACCTTGCGAAACTCAAAACGCCCAGAACCCGAGCTGTGCGGGCTTTCCATCCTGCACCCGTTTGCACTATCATAGCTCCCATCCGGAAGTGGACGAGCCAATTGGGTGTGCAACAGCACTCCGCCGAAACCTTCACTGGCCCGCGGCGTTGCGCAGCTTTTCCCCACCATTCGGTCATCCAGACCTCATTCCTACCTAACCAAAAGCTAGAAGACTGGCCTGGTGCTGCTACTAGAAGCCTCATAAGCTCGCCATTGCCCTGTTTGTCGTCTTGCGAATACCCTCACGGGCAGCTTCCTCGCACTCCACGACCAACAAGGCTCCACGACCAAAGAGGCGCACCATTTGACCGAGGCCACTTTCCACACGTCCCATCTGGCATAAACGCTGCCCGCTGTATTCACACCCAGCAGTCTCTGCGACCTCTTCCTCCTCATGGTTTTATAGCGAACATTTCGCCTGCCCTCCGAGATCGAACGGTGTTGTAGTGTGTCAAGTGCGCGCGGGACGCACTTAAAGCTTTGCGCATTCGGATTCTGCGTCCCTGCCATCTTGTCGCTTTACCCAGCTCGTTGCCCGCCATGACTGTCTTCATTGCTTCTCTGTGAGTGACAATCCTTCTTTCTGGCCTCTTGTGGCACGAGTGGATGCCATCCCACAGGCACTACCTCCCTGAGGAGTCGTCTCATCTCGTTCGCCTGATAAGTTGCCTGCAGCTAACATTGGTCGCTCTGCAGATTCCTCCCCAAGACCATCCGGTTCAACCTCCCGGGTACTCCTCCGCGGGCAGAGATTCCTGAGAAGCGCGCATTCGAGACACAGTCGAGCCGGAAACCCAAGAGGGAGACTCTTGACCGGCAGCCCAGTCTCTTCAAACCCCAATCCGACATCACCCCGCCCGAAACCCCTGTCGAGGAGCTGAATAACCTCGATCCGTTTTCTAATGAAGATGGCGTGCGAATCGGCCTCTCCAAGGACGAGACCACCCTCCGAGCACCGGCTGATCGAGGCTCTCCCACCTGGGGTGCGCGAAAGGACCAGCCCATGTCGCGAGCCAGCTCGCCTCCTCCCGCGCTGCTAGATGGCGACAGAAACCTCACACAGAAGGCGCGCGAGCTGGGCCGCCAAGGCATCATGCAACCTCGCCCTTTCGTTCGCAGCGACAGCCACGACCGCGTGTTCGCCACGGCGAACTGGCGGGTGGTCAATGCCGACCAGGGCAATGGCGGACTGCGCAACGCCGCCGAAGCCGCCTCCCGCGAGGGCAAACTTTGCGATTACACGTGGGTCGGCACGCTGGGCATGCCGACCGACGCGCTCGAGGGCACGCAGCAGAAGCAGGATATTGAGGACAGGCTTGCCACCGAGCACGACATGTTGACCGTGTGGTGCTCCGACAAAGATTTTGACGGCCACTACGTGCACTTTTGCAAGCAGATCCTGTGGCCCATCTTCCACTACCAGATCCCCGACAACCCCCGCAGCAAGGCATACGAAGACCATTCCTGGAAGTACTATGTGCGCGTGAACCAGGCCTTTGCCGACAAGATTGTCAAGAACTGGAAGCGAGGTGACGTGATCTGGATTCACGACTACCATTTGCTGCTCCTACCCGGCATGCTCCGGCAGAGGCTACCGGACGCCAAGATTGGCTTCTTTCTTCACGTGGCCTTCCCTTCTTCCGAGATCTTCAGGTGTCTTGCTGTACGTAAGGAGGCCCTCGAGGGTATGCTGGGCGCAAACCTCATCGGCTTTCAAATCCACGAGTACACTCGGCACTTCTTGCAGACCTGCAGTCGGCTACTGAGTGCCGAGGCCACGAGCGACGGGCTCCAATTGGAAGACCGCTTCGTCGATGTCATCCATCTCCCGATAGGCATCGACCCCGTCCTGCTCAACGAGCACCGCGAGGAGGAGGAAGTGAAGCAGTGGCTCGATGTCATGCGCGAGAGATACCATGGCAAGAAGCTCATCGTCGCCAGAGACAAGCTCGACCACGTCCGCGGCGTGCGACAGAAGCTGCTCTCCTACGAACTGTTTCTTAACAAGAACCCGCACTGGAGAGGCAAGGTTGTCTTGATCCAGGTCGCACTCTCCACCAGCGAGCGCAACGAACTGGACGCGACCGTTTCCGATATTGTCACGCGTGTCAACTCCATGTGGGCGAATCTCGCTTATCAACCTGTTGTTTATTTGAAACAGGATATCGACTACGCCCAGTACCTGGCCCTCTTGACGGTCGCCGACGCCCTCATGATCAGCAGCCAGCGCGAAGGCATGAACCTCACTTCTCACGAGTACATCTTTTGCCAAGATGGCAGGGACTTTGAAAAGAAGCACGGCGCTCTGATCCTCTCCGAGTTTACCGGGACTTCGGAGCTCTTTGCGGGCAACGAGCTCGCCATCAATCCCTGGGATTATCAGTCCTGCGCCGCGGCGATCAAAAAGGCGCTCGAGATGGGCGATGAGGAAAAGGATGCGCGCTGGGCCAAGCTCTACGAGTCTGTCAACCACCACACCGGGGCACACTGGTTCACCGAGTTCCTGTCGCGTCTGGACCGCGTCTACGACGAGCAGCACCGCCGCGACCAGACTGTCGTACCTCGGCTGTCGATGAACGTCTTGGCGCAACAGTACAGGCGAAGCGAGAGGAGGCTTTTCATCCTCGACTACGAGGGCACACTCGTCAGCTGGGGCCCAATGAATAAGATCATCCCGGTCAGCCCGCAACGCACCCTGGATGTGCTCACGGAGCTGGCACTGGACGGGCAAAACACCATCTACGTCATGTCTGGACGGCGCCCCGAGGAGCTGGACCGGCTCTTCCGAAGGGTTCCCAACCTCGGCCTCATCGCCGAGAATGGGTGCTTTCTGAAGGAGTGTGGCGCGGAGAGCTGGATCGAGATGGCGGACCCCGCCCAGATTCGCAGCTGGAAGGAGTCGGTCAAGCAGATCATGACATACTATCTGGAGCGGACTCCCGGCGCCGAGATTGAAGAACGCCGGTGCTCTCTCGTGTTTCACTTCAAGTCTGCCGAGGACTACGAATCGGCAGCTCGATCGGCCAGCGACTGTGCATCGCACATCAACGATGCTTGCGAGGAGCAGCGTGTCCACGCCATCCCGCTCGATGGCTCCATCCTCGTGGAGCCGCTCGATTGGACTAAGAGCACAGCCGCCTCACAGATCTTTGACAACATGCGGAGCCACATGGGTTCCGACGAGGAGCACAAGACGGCTGTGGACTTTTTGATGGTCGTCGGCGACGGCCGAGAGGACGAAAAGGTCTTCAAGTGGGCCAACGGCCTCGGCGAGGACAAGGTGGTCAAGGACGTGGTGACGGTCAGCCTGAGCAGCAGGAATACGGAAGCCGGCGCGACACTGACGCAGGGTGTGAGCGGTAAGTGCAACGATGCTCCGCGCCCCCTTCGTTCCCTATTCCTCGTCGACACCGAGCCCGAACTCGCCACGGATGCCGGGTTGATGCGCGTGGGTTGGTTTTTGGAAAGCGTTTACTGATTTGAGTTGTGTTTGCCTCTAGGTGTACTTATTGCGTTGCAGCGGCTTGCTTCTTCTGGTTGATTATCCGCGCGTCTCGCTCCTCGGCCTTCCTGGCTTGCTTGGGACGCCAGCTAAAGCGCTCTCACGGCCTGTCCTTTTGACCTTCTTTGAGCATCACTGATCCTCATCAATAACTCGGGGCTACATCACACAACGTGGCCCCCTCCCCCAATCTCTTTTTATGATTATGACGAGAAACACACCTTACAGTTCAATTCGCCATCATCCACTCTCCTCATGCGATGACCCAGCTTTATTCATCGAGTACCCCCTTGTTTTTTTTCCTATTGCTTAATCATTACCCTACGCCTTTATCCCGTTCTGTATATTGGCCTGTATCATATTTCTCCGCCTCATGTACCAAACTCCCTTGTGCCACTTGTTGTTTGGCACGGAACACGATGTTTTTAATGTTGATTTTAGCATGGAAAGAGCGGGATAAGGGAAAGAAAAAACACACTGATGTATGTATGGGACAGAATGAAGGGGAACTGGGATTCTCATAGCTTCTCGTTATCTGACCCCTTGAGCGACGTTGTGCCAAAGCGTGTTTTGATCACCATCTGGAAGATAGAATAGGGCAAGGAAAGCACTTTCCACACATATCAAGACTCAAGATGTGCGTGCGATGCGCAAGCTAGCAAGCAATTGAACGAACAAGACGGATGAATTTGTGACTGCTGATTGCCTTTCGCTGATTGCCTTTCACTGCAACACCCTCGTCGTGACTCTGCCCGTGCGCTGTCCAAAGTCGAAAGTTCTGTGCCTTGAGAGGAGCCCAGCGGGGAGGGCGTGGCTATCGGAGTTTTCTGATGCGTTGCACACATGTCTTCCACGTCGTCCTGCATGAATACTTTGTCGATCCTTGTCCAAGATGCTGCAGAGACCGCTTGGAGGCAGCCCAAATCGAAAAAAAAAGAAAAAAAAAAAAACCAAAAAAAACTCAGCTCATCCCAAACCTCCACCCACCGGTGCTCTCCCTCTTGAGTCTGACCTTCATCGTCCGCGCCCTGATCAAGAAATCGGCCATATCCTCCCCGCCTTGCGTCCTCTTCTCCTCGTCTCCAGCCCCGGGACTGATTCCTACCGGACTGCCCGGCTCGCCCACAGTGCTCGGCCGGGCACCGCCCTTCTCGACCCCGACGCTGCCCCCGCCGCGGTTGCTACTCACGATGCTGGCCGTGTCGTCGACACCAGCGAAGAGGAGCGCGAGGGGGCTGCTCTTCCAGTAAGCGCTGCCGCCGTCGGCCCTGCGGCCGGCGAGGAGGACGGAGACGAAGAAGACGAGGGCGAGGCACAGCAGGGTGGCGGAGAAGGAGATGTAGGCCCAGCGGACCTGGATGCACGTCTCGTTGACCCACAGCTGGCCTCGGACGCGGCGGGTCTCGGGGCTCGAGTCGTTGCTGTTGAGGCGGAGCTGGGCCGAGGCGGCGGCGGCGAGGCCGTCCATGAAGGTCTGGGCCGTGGCGAGCGAGGCGCTGCCGTTGTGCCACAGCGTCTGGAGCCACGTGGGCCCGTTGTTGATGGAGGCGCGCGCGAGGCCGTAGGGGATGGACAGGTTGCGGCCGGAGAAGAGGCTGTCGGACATGAAGGAGGATATGCCCAGGATGGCGTTGGCGCCGAGGAGGTAGGCGCAGTGGGCCGGGTAGTACGCCACGTCGCCGCCGGCGGGCGGGGCGGGCGGGACCGGCGGGGTAGACTGTTGGAGCGAGGTCAGGGCGCGCACGGTCATGGTCTGCTCGTCGACGGGGATGGGGTGGGACTCGGTCTGCGTCGGGCTCGCGTCGCACTTGGCCCAGGTGCCGTTGTACAGGGCGGCGCCGCGCAGGACGAGCGAGTACGTTGGGTCGGTGCTGCGGCGGACGAGGGCGGCGCTGGACAGCAGGGTCTCGTCGTAGATGCCGGCCGTCACGTTGGCGGCGTAGGTGTTGACGCAGGGCTGCAGGGCGCAGCGCACGGCGAAGGGCCCCATGGGGCAGACGGCCTCGGGCTGCGCCGAGGTGCAGCCAGGCTGGTAGCGCATCATGAGGGCATCGAAGCCGGTGAAGGAGAACTTCTTCATGTCGACCGTCGACAGGAGCGGGGTCTCGGCGACGCTGACGGTGGCGCCGTAGATTCGGGCGCCGCTGGGGAGGGAGTAGTTGTAGGCGCCCTTGACGGTGCTGTTGGGAGCGGTGTCGTTGACGACGAGGGCGGTGACGTCGTCGCAGACGGGACAAAAGGCCAGCGTCGAAAAAGTGGCGAGCTTTCCCGGTGCGGCACCGCTGCTGCCAGTGTCGCTCTGGGAGGTGCTTGTGGACAAGGTGGAGAAGGAAGAGGCGGCGGCGGGATCGGCGGCGGCGGCGGCGGCGGGCACGGAGGGGAAGGTGCAGTTTCCCGAGGTGCAGTCGACCGAGACGGCGGCGGAGGAGTTGAGAGGCGGGGACAGGACGCCCTGGAAGAGGGCAAGCTGCATGGGGCCGTCGAGGGTGACGCGACCGGCCGAGAAGTGGTTGGCAAAGGCCGTGTACGAGTTTGCGCGCGGGATGGAGGCGCGCAGGGCCTGCGAGGGTTGCAGGCAGGGGTAGTACTGGATGAGGGCCTGGGTGAAAGGGTCGACGGCGAGGACCAAGATGATGAGGATGGCGCCGAGGGTGGCAAGGATGCTAGAAGGAGAGTCTGTGAGCGAAGCGGACCGCGTTTCGTTCGGTCTTGGGAGATGTGCCAAGGTGCTTACGACCCGTCAGACCGGACGACCTGGTTGAAGAGGAGAAGGCTGGATCCCCAGGGGCCTCGACTGGCCATGTCGAACGTCTCCATGTCGGAGAGGCTGCGTTCGCCCGACGCGAACCAGACCCATTTCAGCTGGCTGATGCCTGTGTCACCATGTCAGTCCCGGCGAGAAGGGTGCTCGGGGCGGGCGGGCGGACTGGGATGCGGACCTTCGGCGACCGGCAGAACCATGGAGCTCTTGAAGGCCGTGGACAAGATGGAGACGACAGCGTTGATGGTGACGGGGAGCCTCCAGCCGGAGATGGTACGGCCGTTGTACGAGGCGAGTGTGGCAATCATGCCGACAAAGGAGCCGATGGAGATGCAGATGCTGAGGATCTCGGTCCACCAGGAGGCGATGCGGCGCTCGCTGGAGACAAAGGGCGTCACAGGCTGGGCTGCTGCCGGACGCCGGTACGTTGATGCATCATCGGGCGGAACCTCATCGGCCACATAGCTAGCGAGATGGTTAGTCGCCGCGGTCTTCCGGCAGGGAGGCAGAGAGGGGAGGCAGCGGATCGCAGCGTCTTACTTGGTATAGGGCCAGGACTTGTGCGGATCGGCAGTGTGCGAATACTTTGTCGCGGCTTGAGTCGGCGCGTCGACAGAAGCGACCTCATGATGATGTTGACGGGGCTGGTGGTGGTCAGAGTCGACCACCTCGTCAAACTCGAACTCGTTGAGGCTATCATAGCCGCTGAGCGGTCTACGCCGGGACGAGCGCAGCATGCTTGTCTGTTTGCTTGTTCGCTATGCTCCTGGAGAGGGAGGGCACCGAGGCAAAAGACATGACGGACGGGCGGCGGCCCAAAGCATAAATGCACGTGTCAATGGAGGGAGGAGAGAGAGAGAGAGAGAGAGAGAGAGAGAGAGACGAGGCGCGAGCAATTTGAATCACCGTGGTCGTGCAACCTGGATCGCCGGGATGGCAATCCTACCAGCGAAACAGCGGAAGAAAGGGGCTGGCATTGATATGCGGCCAGGGTCGGCGAGAGTTTCAGCTCTTTCACGGAGCACTTGTACCAGGAGAAGAAGCAGGCGTGGCAGGCAAATGCAATCAATCAATTCATCGCCCTATCGCCCTGGGCTGGACCCCGGTTCCCGCACCCGAACGGTTGTCAAGCCAAGCAGGCACAGGCTGCGCGAACAGGGGGGCGGCAAGCTGTCAGACTCGAGACTCGAGACTCTGTCGAGTCTCTGCCGACCTGCCTAGCGACAAGGAGTTGGTCCGACTCCGACTCCGTACTTGAGTTATTGGGGCCGGAACTGTCAATCCACGATTCCATGATGGTCGAGCTGGCTGCCAGGTGAAGCAAAGGATTGGGACACACAAGCAACAGCCAGCAACCAGCAGCCAGCAGCGAGGGCGGCACCCTCGTTGTGGTAAGTCATGCCTTCAGGCGGCCGGTCTCACGTCAGCCGGAGCACAGTACAGGACGCAATGGGCCGGGTTGGTTTGACAACGGAGAGAGCGAGTGTGAATATTAAACTGTGGTGTTGATTGACCCGCGGCTAGGAATGAAGAATTGGATGGAGCCCTGGAGTGCTAATTCGGTACGATCAGGGGGCCACCTCAGCGCGTAAGGAATTCAATTCGGCGGGGTAAGTACTTGTATTTAGGTGGGGTGACAGCCTAGAATGGTCTAACTACTAGTTAGCACCACATGTAAGAGTCCGAGACTGGAGCATGGATCCCCCGCATTCCGACCATCGGAGCTTTTGCGGTGCTCACGACCCACGATGCACCTCTTTTTTTTTTTTTTTTTTTCGGTCCCCGTACCCGCGGATACTGAGTACCTAGCTAGGCAAATCTAAGTACATAGTTAGGCTATCCACGAACCGGCCGGCACCGTTTCGAGCCTCCATTGCGCCTGACTCATCACGGCATTGCTTGAACTTGCACTCCCACGACCGCGACGGCTCAATTGGGATCAGACGACGAAAGACGACGAAAGACGACGAGAGACGACGACGAGCTCGCATCGCAGCAAAGCAGCAGAGCAGCAGAGCAGTGGCCGCGCACCGCCTCTACATCTCTACATCATCTCCTCCTCTTTGCCTCGATTCACCACCACATCATCCATCACCGCACCAACCGCACCAACCGCACCAACCGCAGCCATGGCCGCCTTCCCGCCCCCTCCGGTCAACTCGATCGACTGGTCCAACGTCGGCTTCAAGGTCCGCGAGGTCAACGGCCACATCGAGTCCCGCTACTCGGTCAAGACGGGCCAGTGGTCCCCGCTGCAGTTCGTCGCCGACCCCTTCATCCGCATCCACGGCATGGCCCCGGCCCTCAACTACGGCCAGCAGGCCTACGAGGGCCTCAAGGCCTTCCGCGCCCCCGGCGACAAGGCCATCACCGTCTTCCGCCCCGACCGCAACGCCCTCCGCATGCAGCACTCGGCCGAGTTCATCTCCTGCCCCCCCGTCCCCACCGACCTCTTCCTCGACGCCTGCCGCGCCGCCGTCTCCCTCAACGCCGGCTTCGTCCCCCCCCACGACACCGGCGCCGCCATGTACATCCGCCCCCAGATCTACGGCTCCTCCGCCCAGCTCGGCCTCAACCCCCCCGACGAGTACATGTTCTGCGTCTACGTCGTGCCCACCGGCGTCTACCACGGCACCCACCCCGTCAACGCCCTCATCCTCGACGACTTTGACCGCGCCGCCCCCAACGGCACCGGCAGCGCCAAGGTCGGCGGCAACTACGCCCCCGTCCTGCGCTGGAGCGACAGGGCCCGCAACGACGGCTACGGCATCACCCTGCACCTCGACAGCGCCACCCACACCGAGGTCGACGAGTTCAGCACCAGCGGCTTCATCGGCGCCCTCGTCGACGCCGACCGCGTCACCCTCGTCGTGCCCGACTCCAAAGCCGTCATCGACAGCGTCACCAGCGACAGCATACAGCAGATTGCCAAGAGCTTCGGCTGGAAGGTCGAGAAGCGCCAGGTAGGCCCCTCCCCCCCCAAACACACCTCACTGCTCTCAAAACAACAAAAAGAGACAAACGACCGATCCCAAAGTCTGAACTGACATCAATCTACTACTTTCTCCTACTACTCGCAGATCAAGTACAGCGAGCTCGTCAACTTCACCGAGGTCATGGCCGCCGGCACCGCCGCCGCCCTCGTCCCCATCCGCTCCATCACCCGCCGCATCGACCACTCCTCCCCGACCTCCCTCGCCGCCACCGTCAAGCAGCACCCTCGCCTCGAGGTCTCCGTCGGCCAAGAGACCGTCACCTACATCCCCAAGACCCAGGAGGATGCCGGCCCCGTCTGCCTCAGGCTGCTGACCCAGCTCAAGGGCATCCAGCTCGGCAAGGTCCAGGACACCTTCGGCTGGAACTTTGCCGTCTCGGAGCACGACGGCACCAAGGTCGTCGGCGAGCAGGCCCAGGGAGAGACCAACGGCCAGACAGTTGACCAGATGGATTAGAGTGGAGGCGGAGATGGGAGGGGAAATAAAAATAAACCACAAAACATTCAAAAGGAGATAGATAAAAATCTTTAGTCATCAGATACAATGCTCAACGCGTACATGTTTTGAATACTACTGGAAGAGCGGTTCCCTTCCTCGGTATTGGCAGCCTCCAGATTCCTCGAGGAGATCAGCCCCCAGTATCGCTGTTCCCTCGAAAGGCTGACCTCAACAAGCACAGATACCAAATCGCTGGTCCGACAGGGCCAGGTCAACACTGCGACCCAAGTCCTGATCAAGATGTGTTTGGAAGATGACTTGGTGAAAGTGTGCAAACGAATTGAGGAATACAAGACTAGATACCATGTGCCAAACATAGTCAAATAATAAGGAACAGATGTATGCTTGGTCGTTGCCGAATAGTCTCCTTCACTTTCCTCTCAAGAAACTGGAAGGCCTCTAGGGCACAGTGAGTTGCAGTCATTTCAGCATCTCATCGGATTACAAGCTGAGGACGTAGCTGTTTGTACATGGACAATCTCGCCACACTATCTTGCCCAATCCACAACCAATCGACTCCAGTAGAGACGGGTATGGAGACTCTGAGATTCGACCAAACATCTCAATGTATCCTGCATAATCCACGCCCCTCGAGTGACGTAGTAGCCAGGTCGATCTGCAGCGGGAGAACTCAACGCAATTGACCTACACCATGGCCTTAGTGGTACTTGGAATCTGGCTCGGCGACTGACACTTCTATGCCACCGTCCAAGTCACAAGTTAGCGTCTCTTCTGTTGTTCGCGGAAACCTACCGAGCCCCAAGACTCTCAAGAACCGCGTGCTACATCATATGTACACATATCTGGCCTTTGATTACCTCAACTCATGTCTGGAGATCTCGGTAGAGGGCCACCACTTTGCTGCCTCCCTAGCATGGTCGACTGTCGTAACAGCCTGCCATCGATACGATCCTTCAGTGTTGCCAACAGCGTCAAGGACTATCTCGCCGATTTTGACGAAAAGACGGATCAACTAGAATCTGTACAACTCTATGTCAATTGAGTCGAGTGAGCTAATAGCTGAGGAATTCACATTGGAAAGCAATCCCCCTTCAGTCTCTCTTGCATCCCAGGTGCAAGTAATTAGTCAAATAGTCGGGTTCGTTGTAATCCTCACTGCAGTGTTGGGAGCGAGATGCAGCTTGATGTTCCGTCGGTTTATTCGGAGCTGACGCTCTAGCTCATCAGATGTGAAGACCCAAGAAACATCATGGTACAGAATCACTGGTGAGTTTAGTCAACAGAGGCTTAGCCATGATAAAGGGAGGAGTCTTGTCTGCAGCTGTCTTCCAACGCCCCTAAACGCGAGGACTTCGCCCAAGCGATTGGACTTGATGCCGACCCATGAACGATATGGAAGACACCGCTACGGCGGGGAATAATAATAATTGTCCAGGGTGATGATGATCGGGTACACTTTTTTGGATCCACGTGATCCAACTGGTGATGATCCTCTCGCTGCCTAGAGCTCGACTGTAGCCTACGAGGCCCAGGTGTGTTCCGCCATATCTTTTGCAACATCCGTTCATAAATTCAACCCTGTCTCACTCTCCCTCTTCTCTGCAAGACCAACCCTGATTCCCTCATGATCACTGCGCGAGAAAACCTGCTGTTCTTTTGGTCATGCCCCGGTCCATCAACACCGCCGACGAATATGACTTTGTGGACCATGATGAGACGGCACTGAGCCCCGAGGCCATCGCTCAAATCCGTGAGTGGCTGCAGCCCACCGACTACCTTGCCGAGTCGGGAGAGCTCAGACGCCACCTGGCCTCGCAAGCCCCCGGCACGGGGCTGTGGATGTGCGAGACGGACGAGTACCGCAAGTGGCACGGTTCTCCCGACCATGGCAGCCTGTGGATCAAAGGCATCCCCGGGGCCGGGAAGTCAGTGACGGCCGCGGCCATCATCCAGCATCTGCGGACAACCGAAGACTGCCCCGTGCTGTTCTTTTTCTTCCGCAACATTATCGCAGCCAACTTCTCCCACCGGGCTCTGATCCAAGACTGGCTCGCCCAGCTGCTGCCGCACTCACCCAAGCTGCAATTCGCCCTCGAGGCCCGCCTGCAGACCAAGCTCGCCGAGACCACCGACAATGAGCTCATTGAACTGTTCCTCGAGGGCTTGTGCTGCGTGCCAAAGGTCTACTGCGTGGCGGATGCGCTCGATGAGATGACCACGGATAACAGGCCATTCCTTGACAAGCTCAACAGCCTGGCCACCTATCGCCCCCGCTCCCTCAAGCTGCTCATCACCAGTAGGCCCAAACAGCACCTACAGAGCGCGCTCCGGGACTCCTCCATCGTGCACATCAGTCTTCAGCAGAAGCTAGTCGATGCAGACATCATGTCGTACCTGCACCATCGCTTCGACCAGGCCCCAAAGGCACGACCCCATAATGAGATGAAACAACAGGTGATCGACATGGTCGCGCGAAAATCCCAAGGCTTGTTTCTCTACGCCAAGCTCACCCTGGATCAGGTGGAGGCGTCCTTGCTGGCCGAGGAGCCGATCAACGTTACAGCCTTGGAAGAATTGCTTCCGGTTGGGCTGGAGCAGACTTACGATAGTGTCCTGGCAAAGCAGCGACGTGAACATGGTCTCACCGTCGAACTTCAAGTCACGATACTCGAAGCAGTCACGCACTCATCCCGGCCTCTGCGGCTACACGAACTCTCCAGCCTGCTGAAGTGCATCTGCCCAGGCCTCGCAGCACCCAAGGCCTTCAAGAGCCTTGTCGCTAACTCCTGTGGCTCTTTGGTGGAGATCTTAGAGGACGAGACGCTGCAGATCATTCATCACTCCTTTACTGAGTTCCTGCGCGGTGAAACCCGGAGCCAGCCGGGCGACACCTCAGCCCACGGCTTCCCCGTCATCAACTCCAGCAATGCGCACAAGCGGCTCGCCATCTCCTGCCTCCAGTATCTTCAGTCGGGCTCGCTGCTTCTCGAAGACGAGCTTGAGTTTGGCCACCGGCACGCCACGCGAGGAACTGCTGACGTTGACTGCTCGGGTGGGAGCGCAGAGAACGAGCGCACTGGCCGACTGCACGAGCATCCCTTTGACTATAAAGCAGCTCGCTTGTCGCACCCCTTTTTGCGCTACGCTGTTGAAAATTGGTGCTATCATGCCAGCCACCACGACGAGGACGACGAGGATCTCTTCAACGCTGTCGCTCGTTTCTTCGACCCGCACAGTGTGTCCTTTCGCAGGTGGCTTTCACTGCAGTTGGGTCAGCCGAGGGACAATTCGCCCAGCCCGGAGAAGTTGCCGACGCCACTTCACGTTGCCGCCTTTTCGGGCCTGTCTCGACTTGTCTCGAAGCTGATCGGAGAGGGTGCCGATGTGTCTGCCCTGGATACCCAGGATCGTCTCGCCATACATTGGGCCGCTGCCAAGGGCCACGCCAAGGTAATCTCACTCCTGCTCCGGCATGGAAGTCATCCAGATCCCGCAGATTGTCGTGGTATCAAGCCCATCCACCTCGCCGCGCTTGGAAATCATGCCTCTGCGGTCACCGCTCTTCTCGAGGCCGGCGTCAAGCCTGACACGATCAAGACGATGGAAAACCACGGCGGGTACTTGAGGGGTGGCGAGACGATCACCAAGGGGGAGTCTGCTATCCTGTATGTGTCGCGCGGGGGATATGCCGAGACCGCCGTTGCCATGGTTCCATTCTGCGACACAGGGCAACTGGAGCAGCTTCTCTGCGAGTGTTGTCGGTTCAACCGCACAGACGCCGTCCTCGCCGTCTTGGACAACTGTGACGTCTCTGGTAATGCAACATTCGCAGGAGCGACTGCTCTATATTTTGCATGCCGTAATTCCAGCACCCACTGCGTCCAGGCGCTTCTCGATCGAGGCGCAGATCCCAAAGCCACGTCCACATGGAGGCCAAGAAGAACGAGATGGGGCGGGATGTGGATTCAAGAAGGCGAAACACCGCCATTGCATCAGCTGGTTCGAGACTGGGCGGACGCGAACGGCGCGGCATGCCAGGCGATCCTAGACATGCTGCTCGAAGCAGGCGCCGACGTCGATCAGCTCGACTTCCGGGGTGACACAGCTCTGCTCGTGGCCGCCGGAGCGCCCGGGCTGGGCAACAACCGGGGGCCGCTCCGCGTACGCGCTATCCGTGCTCTGCTGGCCGCCGGTGCCGACGCCAACAAGGCGCAGAAGCGCGGGAACTCCCTACATCTAATGTTCAATGTCGAGCGAAATCTCAAAGCTACTAAGCTTCTGGTCGAACACGGGTGCGACCCGAATCTGAAGGGCGAGTATGGTCGGACAGCACTGCACTACCTGTTCCTCCCGTCGGGCTCAGTCAGGCAGACCGATAATACCGCGGACATTGCCAGATATCTGCTCGAACAAGGAGCCGATCCGAACATTCTGGATCAACATGGTAACTCGGCCATCTATCGATCCATGTCCTGTGGACCAGACGTCTTTTCCGTCTTGCTCCCAATGTGCAAGGGCGAGTCCATCAAAAGACAATGCTGGTTCAGTTTGGCACTAAATTACCACCTAGACCGTTTTTCTCAGTATCTCGAGCTCCTCTTGGCGAGCGGCATGGATATCGACACGAGGCGACAGGACAATGGCCGCACCCTATACCTCTGCTGCTCTGCCAGCCAGGATAAGATCGAGATCCTCCGCCAACACGGTGCAAAGAGAGACGTCGTCGATAAGCAAGGAAACAGCGCTTTGCATGTTCTCTGTCAGCTCGAGTCTCCCGATCAGGAGTGGCTAGAGAGGCTCATGGTAGAGGATGGTCTGAGCCCTCTTAGCCCGAACAACCAAGGAAAGACTCTACTTCATCATGTCGCGCACTGGTACAATAAGGAAGCGGGTCGCGGCCTGGTGCTCCGACTGTTAGATCTTGGCGTACCGGTCAACGCGATCGACATGGAGGGCAATACTGCCTTGCATGTCTACTTGAAGAAGACGCTCAATAGGTCCACCACCCAGGACGCTCTGCCTGTCAACTTTTACGACGCTATCAATGTCTACGGCGATGTTGACTTTGAAATCCGAGATGGCGAGGGCCTGACAGCTTTACATCTAGCTGTCATACGCTGCGATATCGAGATGGCGATGCTGGTGGCCGCTGGCGCTGACTTGGCTGCTCTCACAGATGACGGGCAGAACGTGCTGCATCTTGCCTGTCGGGCTCGTCTTCCCAACACAGTCTGGCAGATTCTCGACAGGCTCGGAGCCATCGACATCAACCAGCCAGATCGTCATCGCAGAACGCCCCTACACTGGGCCTGCAGGTCTGGAGAGCCAGAGTCGGTCGCTTTGCTGCTGGACCACGGCGCCGACGTCCATGTCACCGATGCCGACGGGTGCACGCCTCTCCACGCCTGTGCTGAATTCAGGCTCGAGCAGTCCATCTGGGACGCGTTAGGCCAGAGCAGCCACGGGTGGCTCCGTGGTCCGCCGCAGGACCCGCTCCGGCCGGGGGCAATGCGGCGCCCGCACACACTCTGGACGTCGCCTTGGTACCACGCCAATCCCAAATATACCGTCTTGGCCGCCCCGGGCCGCAATACTCTGTTCGCGCAAGCAACGACGATCTTGCGACTGCTCCTGGAAGCCCAGAGCGATCCCAGCGTCCTGGACAAGGGCGGCTGCACGGCCTTGGACCGCGCTCTGGCGAACGACTGCCCAGAACTCGTCGAGGTGTATGCGAAGGACGAACAGCTTTTCGCCAAGGCCACGGAGAACATCGCCAATACCCCCGATCATGAATCGCTGGGCGGCCGTGCAGATGAATTCCGCGACTACCTGAGGAGCCAGATGGCGCTAATGTGCCGGACATCACCTTTGACAGACCCGGGCGAGGATCAAGAAGCGATAGATCGAGTGAGAAAGGCACCGCATATATACCTGGAGCTCCTCAGCTGCCAGACTGCTGCTGCGCTGATCACCAAAGCGTTTGAGGCTGATCCGCTAGACGTCTCGCTCTACACCACCCTATCGGTCGTGCTCAAGTCTGGCCGTTTTGATCTCATCGCCAGACTATCTAGCTTGGTGACCCATTACAGCTCGTATACAGCCCTCCAAGATTACGTTCAGCGAGGCTCAAACAGAGGGGAAACTACACTGTTCACCCCGCTCCAGCTCGTGTGCCAATCCGAACGTCCAAACATGCTGTTGCTGAAGCTGTTAGTAGAAGTAGTCGAAGTCGACGTCGATGCACAAAATGTCCAAGCATGCGAACTCGACCAGTGGAAGGCCAAGCCGAACCTTGAACCTGGAGGGACGGCACTACATATTCTGGCTTCTGCGGACAACAGGTGGCAGGTGGATGCGATTGAATTTCTCCTCGAGCATGGCGCGTCGGTCGATGTCAAGGACGCCAAGGGAGAAACTCCACTACACGTTGCATCCCAGGGGACAAAGTACAGTGGGAATAAGATGGTCAAGGGCATATGGAGGCCCAAGGCCGTGCGTGTTCTGCTCTCCCACGGGGCCGATCCGAGCAGCCTGGATGCCAAGGGTCTCTCGCCTCTACACAAGGCATCCAAGGCGCCCGAGGTCATGCGGCTTTTGCTCAACACGGGCGCCGACGCGGCCATGGGGGCCCGGAGCCCTCTATTCCAGGCGATATATGACCAGAATCTAGCGGCGTTGGAAATACTCCTCGACCATGGCGTCAGTGTCGACTCGGTCGACGAGAAGAAGCAGAGTTCGCGAGTCAACTACCAGCTGCGAGAGCCTCGCAAGGTCTACGCGCTTTTGTGTGCGGCGTATGCCGAGCAGATCAACACCCGGGTTGCCAGTTCCATACCTCTGTTCCGTGCGCTCGTCGTGCGCGGAGCAGACTTATATGCGCCGCTCAACGACAAAGAGACGATGATACAGTTCTTGTTTACATGGCCCACGCATGAAGTGCTGGACGCGCTACTCACTGAGCCCTGCGTTTCTCGCATCGACTTCGACCATCGCGACCAGTGCGGCCGCACAGTGCTGCACGCTGCTTGTGACTGGTGCCAGACGCTGCCCGGTTATCGTCATGAGCACTGGTTGCCAAAAGTTCCTGGCCCGGCCCTGAGAATCCTCGACCACGGCGCGGACGCAACGCTCGTCGACAACGAAGGCAAGACGCCCCTCCATCATCTCTTAGAGAACAATGCGATGCCCGACGACGTCCTCCTCCAGTTCATAGACCACCCCGAAGTCACTCCGACGCTCTTTGTCAAGGACAAGGCAGGATTCTCACCGCTCCACTACGCTCTACGAAACCTTCGGCCCGTCGTCTGTGAGTCGTTCTGCGCTAAGGGCGCCGAGCTTTTGGAGGCCGATCCAGACGGCCGCACGGTTCTGCACCACATCGCGGCGCAGTGCCTACTGACAAGGCGCGATCCGCCCGGGCGCAGCGGCTTTGGTATCGAGCTCGATGAGGACCACTTTGACCGGTGCCGGGATCTGTGGGTGAGGTACCTGTCTCAGAAGGGCTCGTCGATCAATGTCATCGACAACGACGGGAATACCCCTTTGCACGCGTTTCTGCTCGCGCCGGACAAGGACCTGGGCTACAACACAAAGGTGCCGCCTAACGCGTGCTGCCACCTAGAGCATTTTGCCAAGTTATTCCCCGAGAGCAGCGGGCTGGACGTGTTCGCCGTCAACAAGGCAGGCGAGACGGCGCTGCATGTGGTGGCGGCGAGGGAGGGCAACGGGCGCGGCGAGGAGCACGACAAGGTGCTGTTCAAAGCTTTGATGGCGAAAGGGCTGGACCCGCTGAAGGAGGACATACATGGGCGGAGCGCGCTCGACGTAGCGAGTGCGTGTGAGAAGGAGGATGTGTTGAGCATCTTTGGGAGGAGCTAGGGAAGTGGGAGCTGTGTGCTGGCGGGCAGAGACAAATCAGTTTGAGACCACATTCCCATGACCGATGATTACAGCATTGCGGCATCAGGCCCGCCTGGGTTCGCAGTGCCTCCCATAAGTGTGCCTGAGCTATTGTCGCGGAAATAACTAGCCAGTATTGCTCGCTCAAAGTCAAGGCCCCGCGGGGACAATGGGCCCGGGAGTGCAATTTCTACGGTGACCCGGGCAAGTTTCGGTGCTGCATGCACTCTCTCAGACGTGCCAAAGACATCGGCAGCGATGTGAGGTATAAAAGAGACCTGCATCTATTGACACCTGCATCGCCATTGAGGTGCGAAAAACCCATTTCGACGCAACTCTGCTCTTTTACCAACTGTCGTTGAGTGTCGGCACTTGCTCATAGTCAACAGCTATGAGTGCAACAAAGGTGCCATTTTTGATTCCAAATATTAGAGTCCACAGAAAATGATCTGTGCCCAGCTGAGCTTGTGAACTGTCGCCGCCATCAATGACTTCCGGGTGAAATCAAAGGAGTTGAGTGTATCGTTCGTTAGAAGGGGATCCGGGGACTGTGGTCTCACAATAAGGGGACCGTTGTCATTCAATTCTGACATTTTGATTGGGGTAAACCCCCTTTGCTGATCCACCCTGTCGTTGTCTGCTTGTAAAGCAGTCCCACGATTGTGTCCCGGACCTGGGGTTTTCCGGGTGTGACCAGTGTCTTTGTTACAGCTCTGGGATTTTTGCTGGGCCTCCTACCCGTGAGCACGGCTATAAGCCCCCCAGGTGGCCTTAGCATAGGCCTTGTTGACAAGGAGTGTCCCTTTTAAATAGGCGCAGCCTGATGTTGTCCGTCTCCTCTTGTTGGAGGCGATCATGACTTTCGTCGTCGTCCGCCATACGCCCGACTGGAAACTTGGAAGCAAGGCCTTACCGCCTTTGGAGCTCAGCTTTGACTCCCAGGTAGTGACGGAGTCTTGTCTTCCCCCCAGGGTGCGTTCTGCCCTGATATGCTACTTGCTTTGAAGGACTTTTCAATGTAGTAACTGGGATAAGCCAGTCTCATACTGCCACCAGACGGGTCTCGAGAGCTGGGCCCTTGAGAGAGACCGATAGCCCGTTGCTGTTTGAGGATTATCGCGAATATCTGAACAGGTTGCAGACGGCGAGCGCCAAATCCAACAAGGAGCTCTCTTAGGAGTTCGATGTACTTCTCAGGCACGTGAGAGTGGTATGCTCCGAGTATCATGCCCTCTTGGAATCTGTGACGCAGAATTACCCATACATGTGTAGTCAGCGAGCAGAGCCTGGGGAGCACACCAGTACCTCGCACAACACCGAAACCCGGCCGAGCACTCTCTCGAAGCATCCTTCAAGACAGGAACTGGAAGAACATGAGGATTCGATGTGAAAGGAGTTTGGGGAGCTAATGTTCAAGGCGCAAGGCCTATGCGAATTATTAAAAGGTCCACCGAAACGGCCGAGTAACTCCTTGTAGTTGCTTCGGGAAATGAAGCAACACCCATGCGGGTCAGCATGCATCTGTCCAAAAGGGCAATTACTAAACACAAATTCTACCCCTGGCAACCTTTGCCCTAGGTGTCCTTGGAAGGGGATCGAGGCCTCGTCAGAGCTTGCCGAGATCGAATTTCTTGCCTCCATCGAGGCACCAGGATATCTAGAACATCAATATCATCTATTTACTAGTTCGTGTCGGGACCTAGCGGAGTCCTGCTAGCCGCCAGATTACATTGCCTGAATATCCTCGTCTCGCCGTCCCGGAAGGACCCAACAACCGAGTGCATTACCCCATGATTATTGAAGAGCACCAAGTCTCCCTCCTCCCAGTCATGCGGGTAGATAAGCTCGGGATCAATGCCCGGCCGCTGTAGCTTGTATATCCGCTCCCTGATCTCCGCCAGATTGTCGAGCACCTCCCCGCTCTCGAGGTGGATCCTTCGCATGGGTATGCCGTAGACCATCAGAGCATACTCGCCGGTGACGGGGTTCTTCCAGACCATCGGGTAGGTCTTGATCTTGGCCACTTCGATCGGAGGGAGCTTGTCGTCTGGGATCTCGAGGCCTTCCGAGAAGAGGCCCAGACCGTTGGACCTGGCATGGGCGCTGCTGATCCACACGTACGGGTGGGCGGCATACTCGACGCGGCTTGTCCTCGCAAATTCTTTGTCCTCTTCCGACAGCATCTGGTAGAGGCGGTAGCCGCTGAAGAAAGCGGTCGTGCCCAGGGGAACATCCAGCTCGGCCCCGGTCCCGTCGTCCCAGCGGCAGATTTGACGGCGACCCTTGGGGACCGTGACCGCCAGCAGGGATGTCACGAGGGGTGGGTTCAGATCGTACAGGGCCGCATCAATATGCCACCTGTAGAAATGCGTGCAGTCGTCATCCTCCTCTGCGGAGACGGGGTACTTGTGGAAGGTATTGTGGTGCGGGTGCTTCAGCTGGATGTTTTCAAGGCCCTCGAACGAGTCGACAAAGCCGTGCCCGATAACTTGGACTTGGGGCTGGTGTGGAATCGTTTTGAGGTCCTTGTGCAGGATGCTGCGTTTGTCGATCGTCTTGCCGTGGCCGTAGATGTCCGTCTCGGGATCGAAGCGTCGCGTCAACTCGTACTGCGCGCGCGGTGTCAATGCCTGCTGGTCTCGGACCACGACTACTTGGCTGGTGTAGAGGCAGTCGCGGAGCAGCTTGAAGTCCTCCTCTTCAAGACGAGAAGCCGATCAGCGATACGTCAGGTTTAGAGGAAAGAGCTGGATCCTACCGGACAGGTTGTTGAGGTCGACACCGGTCACCTCGGCGCCGAAGTCCACTCTGCACGACCCGGGAACAGAGAGTGGTCGTGCTTGAAAACCAAGAGAGCCCATCGCCTCCGGGTGTGTTTATACGAGTAACTGAATGGCTGTCGAAAGATCCGATGCGCAGAACCCAGCCCATCAAGGTTATATATCCCACAAGGCACGCGGACGAGACAGACCATTCGCCCGACAACCCCCCCCCCCCCCCCCCCATGGTATCATAGGGGACTGGCTACCTATGTGCAATCAGAAAGAAAGCCCTGCAGTACGCAGTCTGTGCCTTGACGTGCACAGCACAGTGGTCGGGAGTGGATAAGATAAGCCCAGCAGCCACCAGACATGCATACTAGTGACAGAGGTCGGGCGAGTCTCGGTACTCGCCCGCGACTCCACAACTTACGAGCATCTGCCAATCACCAGTCGGATCTCACATGGTGGGATATCGGAGGTCAGATAGAATAACAGACTGAGGGAGCCCAGCAAGCGATGATGCAGGCGAACAGAGAAGGGAGCCGAGGTGACTTGTTGGCCCGGCTCCTGTTTGGGATGTGAAAATGTTCAAATATAACACAAAGAGCCATAGGGACCGCATTCGCGTGTCCATCGACCCTTTCTTGACGCGCAGGTGTGCGATAGCGTATGCGTACTCAGAGCACCATGTCTTGGGCGTTGTCAAAGAAAACACTGTTGAACCAAACGTCGAAGCCAGCACCGACGCCAACATCGCTACTGGCCCAGGCCCCGGGAGAAAAGTCCGATCCCGGCCCGGGACCATGGCTGTCCTGCGCGAACATGAGTTGCTCGGCACTGACGCCGCCACTGGACGTGTTCTTGGCAGGATACAAGACGGACGCGATCCAGTCGAAGCCCATCGAAACCCGTTGGTCTAGTGCTTGCTCGCCATACTGCGAACCCTCGTTCAGCAGCACATCCACGAGAGTGACGCCTCGCTGAGCAAGCAGGTCGCCGCTCCGGGAGGCGAGCCGCTGCCGTGCGGCCCTCACGGTCTCCCGGTGGTGCTCTGCCGTAGTGGTGTCGCTGCCGGGCGTGCTGTATATCTCGAGGCACAGGATTACGGCGGCGGTGATGCAAAAGGCCGTATGCGTCCAAATCGACACTTCATCGGCCTCGGTAAGGGCATTGTGCTCTCGGAGGATGGTCGTCGCGGCCGCCGTGCACGTCTTCCGAGTGAACGCATACGCAGGGGCCTGGAAGGAGCGAAAGAGAAAGGGCCTGTGTATCATGATGATCTTTTCGGCGGCGGTGATGGCGAGAGACTTTCGGGCGATCTGCAGCCACGGGATGCTTGCCTCGGGCTCGAGGTCGCCCTTGAGGAAGAAGGGCGGGAACTGGTTGACGACCTCGCGCACGCGACGGTCCATGTGGAGGACGTGGTCGTACTGCTGCTTGAGCGGGAGCTGTTGCTTGGCGGTCCCGAGGCCGTCGGCCAGCTCGGGCATCAAAACGGCCAGCTGGACCAGATTGCGGCAGTAGCTGCTGACCGTGGGCACATTTTCGGGCTGGTGGACCAGATCACGGTCGTCTGCGTTGCTTGGGTAGCTCGTAGAGACCTGCCCGGGCGAGATGCCGTATGTCTCGGTGAAGGGGATGGCAAAGTGGTCCTGGATAGTCAGCTGGCACCACACCCTCTTGCCGACTTCCCGCTCGACGCGCGTTTCCCAGTCTTCTGTGCTGCCGGCCAGCGCCGGAGGATCATCTATGCGGTGCAGACCCAGACACTCGGAGATGCGGATGCCCGCGTAGATGAGGGTTGCGTTCAGTTCGCTCTCGCCAAGATTGTGGGCGACCTCTGTAGATATGGCAATGGCCTGCACGCTGTAGAGCGTGAGGTCCTGCAGGAAGTGATGCCGATACAGCACCGTGATCATGCTGGAGAACAGCTGCTGCGTGCTTGGGAGCCGCGCGGTGTCGACGCCGATGGCGGCCTTTGCCTTTTCGCTGTGCTGTGTGCCAAAGACGGTCGCGCTCAGGACCGAGAGATAGAGGGCCAGCCACAGGGGGTGGTTGTAGGTGCCGGTGGCCCAGAAGGTCTCGCACTCGGCGAGGAAGGTCGGGCTGTGCCAGCAGTTGTGGTGCCACGCCAAGTGCTGGATGTGGAAATGGACGAGCTTCCTGGCGTCGTCGGGGTCAGGCACGGCGGCCTCTGCTCCTCCAGCGTCGATGTGCCGGCCCAGCATGGATGGCATGCCCTCGGCGTGTGGCTCTGCATGATGTCTGCGGTGCTTGCACCCGCACGCCTTGTGCGGGAAGCACTTGCCCGAGGTCCGGCCCCAGGCCAGGTGCTCGAGCGCGGTCAGGAGTGAAGGATCTCGGAACTTGCGGAAGCCGACCTGGGTGTCCGGGACCTGCTGCTCGGCCGGCGCCTCCGTCTCGGCAGTATCGCCCGTGTCGGATGCTGACGGCCCGGCTTCTTGTCCGTCATGAGGGGCAGCATCGTCGCCAAACTGCAAGTGCAGGATCCGGTCCCTGACCCTTGCAATGGTCGTGGTCAGGGCAGCGTGATAAGGCAGGCGCTCCAGGTCGGCGACGACAGAATGCAAGAACTGGACCTGGTCGTCGTTCTGGAGAATGTGGCGCTTGATGCGGACCTTCTCGCGCGAGCAGTCGATCTTGAGCCGGCAGCATCGGGCGCAGGGCACCTGCTTATCGCATTTCACCTTCCTCCGAGTGCATTCTATTATGCGACGACAGGCATCGACAAGATCAGCTACTGCTACTGCTCCTGCTGCTGCTGCTGCTGCTGCTGGCGTCTTCTCGACATTGAAAGGGCTGCTTCTCTCTTACCTCGACAGGCAAGCGGCCGTCGCTGCGAGGTGCGAAACTGGTCTGCCGGATTCTCCATGCAGATCCATCGAGCGACCGATCGCCAGGGTTGATTCTCTGATCCCGTCCCGGGGCGGCCCAGCCGTTCATCTCTCCTTGTGCCTAGGTATCTCTGAAGAAAAAGACGACAATGGCGGCGGGGACTGGATCCATTGTGTGCTGTGTCAGCTCCTGTGTCTGGAGGCCTGTTTCTCCACTCGGCTCGATCAAAATGTGTGTGGGGAGGGGGTGGAGAGGGGCAGAATTGGAGCTGATGAGCCTCGAATGGTGATAGGTGGTGATAGGAGGTAATTCCAGTGGGTGCGGGGCACTGAATGGGGGGGTCAAGTGGACCGAGATAAGGCCAGTCAGTACTCGGTAGATAAGCGTGCATTTCTCTCTCCCACTCAACTCTCAAGTCATTTGTCATGCGGCGTGACAATCGCCCCAACTGAGCCTCGGTCTACTTGTACGAACTTTGTAGCGACAAAGAGGCATCATTTTCAACGGTGGGATAGTCCATCCATACTTGGCCGACCTAGGATCGAGAACAATGCCCTCCAGTGCGACTGGGCCTCCCCCCGAGTCAAGTCGGATCTTCGGATCTTCGGATCTTCACGTCTTGGGCCACATGCAGTAATTCCCGCACATCTTGGCGTGCTCCTTATCCAGTACTTGTACGGTAGCAGTGCCTACCGAGTACCTAGTCGTTCATCAAGGACGAGCAGTCGTGCGAGGCTCACTCTCAGGAGCCAGCCTGGCTCCTCGACAACAAGCGCGATAGGCGCGTTGGGAATGATCATCCTGCGTAGGCTGTGGCCAACCAACCGCACCACTCGCGATGAAGCGACACGGAGCGACGGCTGGGTCACCAGATGTCATTCATTGTCCTTGGCAATGTGTCCCAGACTCCCAATCCAGTGGAGTTACGTACCACGACGAGGACCTTACATACCTAGAACATGCACCGAACAGCGTGCCTTGACGACCGAGCTTTCCCATCCTCGAGGGCTAGCCTGGAAATAATAGGCAATATCGTTTCTGCGTCCGAGTTCAAGCGCGGAGGATGGAGTAGAGGACAAGTAGATCATGTCCATGGCACCATCCTCGTCTTGTGGTCACGAGTATCCACCAAGCTGGCATGCCCGCACGAGACGGGGCCAGCGCGGGGCGGCGTCGTGTTCACGCCACAGAGGGCATGGCGTAGCACGCTCGTTGCTGGGGATCGAGCACCAACGTCTGGATGTATGACCTGGGCTAGGTAACCCGTAACGCATCGAGTGCCTTTGCTGCTTAGGTAGGTACCACGAGCCAAGGTGTACAAGTACGGAGCCATGGATCCTTACAGGTACAATACTTGTACAATAGCTGGCATCCCCGTTGGTCCGGTGGCAGACAACGGCCGAGGGACCAATGCGCGCCGGGGCGGGGAAGAAACCCTTGCTGGGCGGGTATGTGGGTGTATTGCTAAAGTACTCGTACAAGTAATTAACATTGTACCCAGGCAGTTGTAGTTACCATATGTACGGACATGGTCTTCTATGCTGTGTGCTGTGTGCTGTGCTGTGTGCGCGCGTGACGGGCAGCGACGTGGAGAGCTAGAATATGCTTTGTTCTAGAAGCAAGAATCAAGACAAGCATTGGCCAAGCATTAGCCAAGCATTTTCTAGTCGCAGCTTATCCCCAGCGCTGGACCAGACGAGTGGCTCCATCCATTCGGTCCGGTACAGCCAAACGCCCGCCTATTGGGCGCTCCCGTCGCACCCTTCGAAGCTCCCAATACGACGCGGGGGGGCTGGCGTAGAACTTGGAAAGGGTGGGTGGCTCGAAGGGAAGTGCGTGCATGTACAAGTAGTTAGTTCCATACCTAGATAGGATAGGTATGTGAAGTACGGAGTGCAGGGTCAGTCAGGCTGTTCTGCCAGTCAACCAGCCATCCATCCACCCATCCATCCATGCCTGCCTACCTCCCTAACACGCTTTGGGGACCGACACTGCAATGCTGCAACAGACGATTCTAGAAGCGGCGGTTCAACCGGCCCATACAGAGAGGCAGGTCCCCTCCGAACGCGGTGTGGCACCGCGCGACCCGATGCGCCCACCCATCGTTTGCTTCATTTGCTCATGGCATGGGCAATCCCCAGCTCGAGTGAACTTTTGCCAACTTGCTTGCTCGCGTGCTCGCTCTACAACTATCGTCCGTCGCACTCGAGGTAACATGACCTCGCCGGCCGGATATGCCGGATTAGGCGGGAGCACACACGGATGGCTCACCCTAGTGTGGTCTAGCTCTGCGCCTCTTTCGTATGGGGAGCCTGTGGTGGTGCGAGAGGGGGGGGGAGAGGAATGGAGACTCGAGAGTGAGTGAGAGGGAGAAAGAGAAGAGGAAGGCAGAGCCGGAGTCTGTCTGTCTAGGTATGTTGGACAAAAAGTCCCAAGGCGAGCTGAAGGGGCTTTCGGTGACCATAACCAGCCTAGCTCGCCACTGGTGTGCAAACAGATATCGAACTCCGTACAGGGACACGGTCTAACTCGCGATCTGCTTGCAGAGCAGAGGCTCGATTACGTTTGCCTCGCGGCCTGGCGCGAGAACAGATCTGGATCGTATCATGGGCAGCCGTGGCTGGTATTGGCTGGCAGCAAGCGACTAGAGTACTTCTGTCCTCAGTCCACCCCAGAACTGGTATTCCGCTCCGTTGTGCCCGGGGGGGCGCTTATTGACTAGTCTCCAGACACACACCCACCCGGCCGGCCCACGGCCTGCGCGTTATCTCTGCAAGCCCTGGTATTAGCCAAATTTCCCTGCCACCTTCCTTATCTGTGCTCCCCGACCGAAACAACACCAATAGGGGGCTGCGCTTATCTATCGTGACCCGTCGTGTCGTCCTGGGGTGGCGCGCGGGGATGCCGTGCCCGTGCATCCCTTGGTAAAAGCTTAAAGGCGCCCTCAGGGGGAGGGGGGTGGGAGAGAAGAGCTTGGCTTTCTTGAAATATGGGCGGCCCCGGCCTCCGTGTGCTTCGTTCTCCTGCAAGACCGCCTTCCTCACCATTCCTCCTCTCTTCCCCGGCTGTCAAGATGAGCCTCGATAACGAAACCAAGGCGCTTGGCGCGCATGCTAAGAGTTCCCCGGCCTACGAGCCGGGCGCCCCCGGTGACCAGGCAGCTGGTCACCAGATCAGTGTCGACTTGGAACACGGCCAGCTTCATCGGAATCTGAAGGGTAGACACATGCAAATGATTGCCATGTAAGAAGATCCCATGCCGAGCCCCCCCCTCTTCGAGTGCCCTCAACCCATGCTGATCGACCCTCTCAGTGGTGGTGCCATTGGCGCGGGTCTCTTCGTTGGTTCTGGCGGTGCTTTTCAGACCGGCGGGCCTGCCTCCGTGTTTCTTGGTTTCTTGATTATTGGTCAGTCGCCGTGTTCTGCTGCAGGCCGAGAGCCTTGGATTGCTAACGCCTCCTTCCAGGTATCATGGTGTATGCCCCCCCCTCGGCATCCGGGAAACGCAAGGCCCAGCAAGTCTTTTGAGACCCCCGCTGACAACCGGCCTGATGATCTAGGTACCTCATGATGCAAGCAGTTGCAGAGCTTTCCGTCGTATATCCGATCAATGGCGCCTTCACCATATACATCTGTCGCTTCGTCGATCCCTCCTTTGGGTGGGCGTGTAGCCTCGAGTACGCCATCAGCTGGCTGACCGTCCTGCCCTTCGAGATATCAGCTGCTTGCAACATCATCCACTACTGGCCAGGATCGGAGGGCATCACCAACGCCGCGTGGATCGTCCCGCTACTTGTCGCCTTGGTCGTCATCCAATTCTTTGGTGTCAGGGGTTACGGCGAGGCATGTTGTTCCCACGCCGTCCCACTCTGCGCTCTCCTCCCGGCGCTCCTTCTCGGGGCCCGCTAGCTGACCATTGCACAGGTCGAGTTTGCTCTCAGCCTGCTGAAAGTCACCGCCTGTGTGGGCTTCATCATCCTGGGCATCATCATCAACTGTGGCGGCGTCCCGACGGATCCCAGAGGCTACATTGGTGGGAAATACTGGTAATGGGATCCACATCCATGCAGAGGCTCTGCTGGGCGAGGGGCTGACGGTGAGAGACAGGAACGATCCCTATAGCGCATTCCTCAACGGCTTCCACGGCTTCTGCAGCGTCTTCGTCACCGCGGCCTTCGCCTACACCGGCACAGAGCTGACCGGGCTGGCTGCTGCCGAGACGGACAACCCCAAGAAGGAGATCCCGAGGGCGTCGAACCAGGTCGCGTGGCGCATCGGCATCTTTTACGTCGTCAACCTGCTCCTCGTCGGTCTGATCGTGCCCGAGGACAGCCCCTTGTACTCGGGCGAAGGTTCTTCCTCGCGCCACTCTCCCTTTGTTATCGCCATCCAGCTTGCGGGCATCAAGGTTCTGCCGTCCATCTTCAACGCCATCATTCTCATCGCCGTCATGAGCGTAGCCAACTCGTGCACCTTTGGTTCGACTCGCACACTCCAGGCTCTGGCTGCAAATGGTTCGTACCCCCGCGTCCTTCTCGTTTTCTCTTACCCATCATCGTCTTGCCAATGCTAACTGTGCATACAGGCATGGCCCCAAAGTTCATGGCCTACGTCGATAAGAAGGGCCGTCCTGTGCCTGTGGTCATCATTCAGCTCCTCTTTGGGCTGCTGGCATTCATCAATTTGGCAAAGAATGGTGGAGACATTTTCACTTGGCTCCTATCATTGTCCGGTCTGGCCATTCTCTTCATCTACGCCGGTATCGCCCTGGCTCACATCCGCTTCCGCGCAGCCTGGTAAGCAGTAAACTGCCGCTCTCGCTCCTCCTCCGTCACTAACAACCCTGCAGGCTTGCCAACGGCCATTCTTTGAGCGAGCTACCCTATCAGGCTTCATGTGGTGTCTGGGGCTCGTGGCTGTGCTTCCTGATCTGCGTTCTCGCCCTCATCGCTCAGTTTTACGTCGCTCTGTATCCAATTGGCGGCCCAAACCTGGATCCTACCACCTTCTTCCAGCTCTACCTCGCAGGTCCTCTCCTGATCTTCCTGTACTTGGTGTGGAAGGGCTACAGCTGGTTCGCTGTGCCCGAGCACCGCCCGCTGTTCATCAGGACAAAGGATATTGACATCTACTCGGGCATGAGAGAGGAGCAGCGGGCCATTATCAGCGGCTCTGGTGTTCTCGGAGAGCAGACCCGCAGTAGCATCGATGCGATGGAGGAGGAAAAGACGAAGAGAGGCGTTAAGGCTTACATCATCGGTGCTATTCGAAACGTTATCTAAACAATCGATGGCAAGGATGATTAGCAGGTTCTGGACTGAGGGTGTATCATGACCATGATCCATTGTAAGAGGTTAAACAAAATGCAAGAGGTCTATATTGTGGGTCGAGCAGTGGCGTAAACCGTCTCTCGGTGCTATTGTCGACATCTACACGCATTGTGAAATTAGATTCTCATATTATAATTCTCCTGGCTATCACAAGACATCCTCTTTTAAGCTGAAGTTGACGCCGCTTTGGTCGCTCTAAGTATAGGACTAATTCCGCACAGTAGAGAACAGGCTTCAAGTTGCTTCTCGCTGCAGAAATGAATACAACCATAGGAATGCATGACGGAGGACCAACAAGATGGGATGGAACCAGAATGATAACAGCGATAGCAGGGGCCCAAGGGACAGTGAGGAACAGGCTTATGTCGTGGTAGCAGGCGCCCTTTTTGGATCAGCCGCCGCCGGGCGTAGTAAAGTGTGGTATTATTTTAGTAACTCCATCCTATCTCCTCCCTCTGGTCGTCCACCACCCTCCCCCATTCCAACAGCAACCTGAACATGTATATCTGCATATCTTCCTTGCGAAGCACCTGCGCCGCCCAGTCGCGGCCGTCCTCGGCGATGCGGCGCCCTAGCCCCTCCCCGTGCTTGCCTGCGAAGAAGTTGACAATCCCCCAGAGCCCCTTGCCGAGCCGCACGTCCACCGGCACGTAGTGCCGCCAGGCGTGGACGCGCTCCTCGTACCACGTGCGGAACAGCGCTACCCGATACACCAGGCTGCGGCTCAACAGAAACGGCACGAAGCGGCCGCTGAAGCCGGCGCCATCAAAGTCGATGAGGTGCCGGAAGGCCCAGTGATCGGAGAAGGGGACTGGCGGCGGCAGGAAGGAGGCGTCCCGCCCTCCCTCGACGTGGTGGCCGCTCTTTGGCCGGCTGCCGCCACCATACCGGTAGAAGGTGTCTGCTTCTGCGATGCAGTCGGGCTCGTGGCATTTTCGGAATTCGCCCACGAATGAGACGTTGACGCCAAAGGGGCGCCCGCAAACACCATCAGAACATTGTCCAGTCTCGTGCTCGTGCGCCACCCACCCGGGCGTGTCAAAGTCGGCGGCCACCCTCTGCGCGGCGTGGACGAACCGCGCTCGGGGGAATCCCTCCCAGCCGCCGTTAATGGCGAAGCCGTCCGACGGCGAGCCCCGCCAGAAGAGGGTGTTGTGCTTCTGCTCCCACGGAACGTCCTCGGCGGGTTCGTACACCGTCTTATCCACGAAGGACCAGGGCGACGGAACCAGGACGTCTGAAAACCCGGCGGTGCGGGCTTGGCTGAAGATGGGAAAGAGCCTGTTGGTGCCGAGCATCGGCGCAGGAGACGTGATGAAGCCGTGGAGGTAGGCCAGGTCCGGCTGGTGACAGACGTCGCCGGAGGCCACCCAATCCGACACTACATGCATTCCCGGGTCCGAGAGCGTATGGCGCTGCAGGCAGGCTGTGCAGAGCGCCTTGCGGTTCCACCATACGGATTGTCGAGCGCGGGAGTCGGGAGGACAGGCCGGGGCCACGACGTCGTAGAAGAGCTGGCGGCGCGTGTTGTCTCTGAAATGGGGAGACTTGGCCGCCACACCCGGCGCGCTGTCGGGCTCAAAATACTTGCTTGGCCACCGCACGGCAGCGTCCTCGGCCTTGGCGAAGCCTGTTAGCTTCGCGGTGTCGAGCTCCGCCAAGCGTGCTTGCGACTGACGAGCGGCCACATGGAGCAATCTCGAGTCTGTGAAGGGGAGGGCCACGCGGCACTCGTCGTCCAAGTTGAACGCAAGATCCATGTCGGGAAGCCATCGTGCAAACGGCTTCATCATGGCGGCGTTGGCGTCCATCATCCACCGGTGGGTGCCGGGCGTGTGGGGAGACAGCTTGATTTCCCCCTTTCGAATGCGGAGCCCGCCTATTCTGAGCGACGGGGACTCGACAAGGTGCGCAGTTCGTGCACGGATGACGCTTGGCACGACACCCCAGAACGGACGGAGGTCCGAGGAGACCTGATCAAAGCTGTCGATGATGGTCGAGTTCCAGGAGACGGCAAACTCATACCACTTGTCGAAGTTTGGTGGCGGCGGGATCCTGTATCGTCTCTTGTACTCGGCAACGGCTTCGTCAAATGTGGTGCTCTGCCGCGCGGTCGCTACCCAGGTCTCGGACATGCGACCATGTGCCTCGGCCAGGGAGGGGATAGCATGATGGCTGGGTTCTATAGAGTATGGTCGCGGAACCGCGGCGACGTAAAGCGTCACCAGAACTGCCAACAGGCCCCAGTAAAGCGTCATGAGAGCCCGGTGAGGGCTCTCTCCCCTGAAACACGTCGCGGTCAATGTCTCCTTGTCAAAATGCAACAGAGCTGCGACAGAGGCCAGGCCCAAGATGCCGACCGCCCAAGAACCAAGAGAAGCCAGAGTGGCTGCGGAATTGACCAATCGTAAGCACAACTCTGCCGAAAGCCCGGTAGCGCTGAAAAGGACCGCGATAGTGGAGGGGCGGACAGAGGACAGCAAGAAGACGCTGCTCAGGAGAGCGCTCGATGCGAGCAAGGTGTCGAGAGCCAGATGCCGAACCCTAACATCGTGGATTCGGAACGCCCAGGCGATATCAGAGTCGTGTAACGTGAAGAACAAGATTGACAGCAGCGTCAAAACTGCAGACGAGGAAAGAAAAGCCGACGAGAGAAGGGCGGAGCATGGGCCAACGGCCTGGTGTCGCTGCCAGAGCCGCGAGGTATAGTCGATGGCCGCCGCATCAAGCAGCACCACAAAAACTTGCGCAAAGGGAACAAACGGTTCCCATCGCCACCCTGGCGGACAAATTGAACCCACGGCCCCGCTGGGTGAGAGGTACATCTGCGTTGCTGACCATCCCCATGTGGCGGCTAGGACGATGTAGCGAGTGGAAGGGCCCAGGCTCGTCCTTCCCAGTTCCGGGAAGTAGCCATGTCTACCGGAGCTCGCAGCCGGCCGGCCTTTCGTCTCGGCGAGGGCCAGGAGAAACGGCAGGAAGGCGTGCAGCCCGTCGCGCGAGCAATGTATCGAACGTATTATACGTCGGAACACGATCGTCCGGCACGTTATACAAGCGATGAGCAGCGTCAAGGAGGCCGAACCAATGCGCAGGCGTCGCAAGGAGTGTAGGAGGCTCTTGGCGGCAGCAAGAGGAGCGGCGCTGGGCACAGTCCGGAAGGGGGCCTGCACCGCTGATGGCGGCACGAGCTGGATCGCCGACGGCAGGTCGGCACGCGCCCTTCTCGCAACAACCAATAGAACAGCGCCGCTGACAAGAAGTGTCAGGATAGACAGGTGGATCGGGCGTTCTACAAGTATGGACAAACAGTGGGTTAGTGGATTGGGCCCGCAAGGGCCGGGGGGCGAGTAAAAATACAAGTAGTTCCCCAGGTTGTGTTCATAGTACCTCTCTGTACGTACCAAAGGCGGCGCTCGAGCTGAATCGAGCAGAAAGGACTGCTGTGCTCCCAACGAGGACGCTGTGCCGACGGACGACAGACGTTAGTTGCGCCGCGGAAAGACGGACGGCAATGAGACGAGGTGCCAGAGTCAAGGCGGGAAATCACTTACTACAGCGTCGTGATGATATGCAACCAGCGGCGCTCCATCAGTTACTCACTGGGCAGCGAGCAGGCCGCATGGTTTGAAGGCCGCCAAGCCTGACTATCTTACAGTCGATTCGTCGCACTGGGCTATCTGCCGGAGAGGAAGATTGGCCAGGCGAGAGAGCGCAAACACAATACGAACGCGTGGGCATTGTTGTCATTTTAAATGCGCCGTGGGATCGGTACCCTGCCCGTGTGGGAGAGGAGGAAGACACTTTCGGTAAGACAGCAAGAGGGGTAGAATAGGAGCTAACGTGCCGCACTATACCTTTAAAAGCCAGGACAGGAGGACCTTTGAAATTCCCCCGTATTTACCACCTTGCTGGATCATCAATAGTGGAGGTGTATATCCGCCCTTTAAGAGGATAATTGGTAGGCTCGGTCTAATTGCTCCCAGGCACCCGTCTTACGTTCCAAGCTTCCGGGGCGACTCGGGCAAACTTGGCAAGTTTTTGTTGTGAAGCCTCCCTCGCTCGCCGCATAACCACCATACTATGATAGTCTTCAGTCGCTACCTCGTATGAGTGTGGTAGTGTGGACCAGATTCTGTCTGACAGGGACTGGTACTTAAACCCTTGAGGAACTGAACGAGTCTTGCTTGAAGGGGAAGATCTTCTCCTGCCCGCCCAGCTTCAGGCAGAGAGTGCCAAACAAAGCCCGATATGGGCCTAGGTGTGGGCTGCCGAAAGCGCGCACAGGATGCATTGTCTCAGGTCTGGAAGCGAGTCTCCTTGTTGTTGCGTCACTGGCCCTTGATTTGAGGCTTGGGGAGCAAGTTGTTGAAGTCCACGGCCCACTAGAGTGCTTCCCGACGGGGAGGAAGCGTGGGATCTAGTTACCTGCCAATCTTGCATCAAAGGAAGAGCGTTACCGGGAACAAAATCTTGCAGCAAGATCTTGCATCCATCATTAGTCTTACCCTATCTGTAAACCTCGTCGGAGAAATCGGTGCACTTCCTTTTGGCTGCAACTGAGCACGACTTCTCGAGGAACCTTGAGGAGCACTTCTACGGACAGTTGGTGCAGTGTGCGATTGCATCTGTAAGCGCTTCACACGAGGCGCACACAACAGTAGACCATGCCATACATTCCTTGGAGGACATCTTAGACACCCCTGCTGTTGGACCATTGATTGTGTGTATTCTTATGTTCTCCCCTCTTCTTCTAGAGGAGGCTGGTTGTATGAGATATCTAGAGAAATCTAGTCTAAATCAGATTGAGTATTACTTTATATCTTATATCTGGGGTATAAGGTTTATTTTATAGAAATACTACTTGGTTATTTATTTTATATAATATATCTAGATAAGTTGGATTTATCTAACTAGTTATTAGTTATTTCTTATTATATATTATAGAGCTA